CACATCAACAGTTAATATCAAGTTATTTGCATTTCCAGACTAGCTTATGTGGATAGATGAATGAATATGCATCGCCTAAGCATTTAGTCTGTACAAAGGTGGGCACAGGTTGACTGAAGTTGAAGATGCTCTTTCATCTTTTACTTTGCCTCCTTTTTTTTGTTCTCCTGGATGAATATTTGGCTCAAGACAAAAGGTGAGCCAATCAATTATTCCTCTTGCAGGGCCCCGGTGCTGTTGTGAAAAGCGTTGACATTTGAGCTTTCCAGACGACATCTGCAAATTTATATGCCTTCCATTGTGTGAGGCAGGCAGCCTGTATCAAAGGCTGTAAAAGGCCTTGTCAATTTCGTAAGGACAACTCCACAAAGACTCCTTTCTTCTCTGTTGTTATGGGAATAATGCTTTTCACTGGTGTCCTGCCAAAACCTCTTGGCAATCTGGCCATGTGATGTTATTGATTGCATTGATAACAGACATGTACCATGGAAACCATCAAACTGTCGGTAATGCACTGTGGAACATCACAAACGCATATCTGGTGATCAGATCCGACAACAACTTCTTTATAGATGCTAGACCTGTACTTACTGCACCTGCCTGAAACCACGAGTGACGGGTGTCAAATTAAAATATCCACCTTGTGTCCAGTGGAGTTTCAAGTTGCAGTTTGAAATTCCTTTTTAATATGCATTCATGCTGAACTAGTCTTGGAGTTACAAATGTATGGTGAGCAAGAAAATACTATTCTTTAAATGTAAAAACATAATCTGGAAAGTAATGAGGTAGAAACAGAAGCTGTTAAATGTGGTGGAATAAAAACTTTGCTTAATTCCTTTTCATGCATACTGATACTTATGACACTGTGACTCCCCACTTTCACGTCATGGACACCATCATGCCCCAGGACCTGAAACAGAAGCTGAACATCAGCTCCCTCATCGAGAAGGCCCAGCAGAGGATGCATTTACTGTGGCAACAGAACAAGTTCAACCTGCCAAAAACAGTGATGGTGCACTTTCACACCTCCATCACCGAGTCCATTCTCACCTCCTCCATCACCATCTGGTACGCTGCTGCCACTGCCAAGGACAAGGGCACACTGGAGCGTACCATCCGCTCAGCCAAAAGGTGATCGGGTGCAGTTTCCAGAGCGTCCTGTACCTGTGAGCCTCTAGGATCCTGAGGCATGCTAGGATTGTGGCTGACCTCTCACACCTTGTACACAAACTGTTGGAGCCCCTCCTCTCTGGCAGGAGGCTGCGGTCCAGTAAGGTCAGAACCTCACACCACAGGAACAGCTTTTTCCCCTCCTCAGCAGTCACTGGTCTCATCAACAAGGCCAGAGACTCTTCCCTCTAATGCTTACAATCTATGGATGTGCAACACTTGCCTTTACAAAGGTTATCTTTGTTTATAAAAAAAAAATAAATCTATTTGTCTACGTTTAACATAATGCACCAAAAGCCACATCAAATTGTGTGTATGTGATAACCTACTTGGCAATAAAAACTGATTCTGATTCTCATAACATTTAAATTGTACTTCAGCACAACAACTGAGTAAATGTGAATGTCTGTTCTTGTTACCATTTTCCACTACAGAGTAACTGTACCTGTTGCTCAGTTTATGGCCACTTTACAGTCTTTATATTCTATCTCGTGGCAGATTAAAATTACTGCAAGGGGAAAAATCAGCACATTAGACCTGTTAAGTTTAAAAGAGAGAACTACATTATATTAGGGGTATGTTTAAGGAAATATCTCATGAAAAATACAATAAACTAGACCAAGCTGCAAGCAAACATTTCGACTGGGAAGGAATAAAAGAATCTCACACACTGTCATTTGAATTGATTTCATTAACTTAAATTTGTTCATATGACATAAGATAAAAATATATTTTAATCATTGTCATTTTGATTTTTACTATTTTCTTCTTAGACAAAATTAGATTTTACAGTACACACCTGTTACTCCCGTACCTACTTTCACCCACTGGTAGGTACAAATGGGTTGATGCTTGTTTTGTCCAGAAAAATACAACTATAAAGAAAAAACATACAGTACAAGGATTTTTTGGTTGCGTTGTGACAATACAAATCTTGTTTACTGTCATCTCAATGAATAGTAACTAATAAAGCCACAGATATTGACTATTACTGGACTCTGCAAGTATAAAGCTTCTCTCAGACAGTTAGAAGTACCACCATAGACAAACTACACAGGAGCAAATATAACTCGTCCCTGACTTACACACACCTTTTCAATCACAAGGACTGATCATTAATGACGAGAAAAGCTTTGGAGGAACATCACCTTAAAAGCCTGCTTTTTCAGTCAGGGTCAATAAACACTAATTTACGATGTTAGTTACAAGTTCTGCTACAATCTCATGATGTGGCCCATTTCCACTGTTGGCTGCAGCTTTACAACATCATTCATGACCAGCTGCATAAAATTAACTCAAAAAATGGAATCAGATTAGGGCTTGGCATTGGTAGACACTAAATATTTAACAAGTCTAAGCTGAGGCATAAAAACCTGTTCAGAGCACTTCTATTTTCAACCACAGATTCACTATTGTGGAAAGTGTCAAGCAATAGCCTACCAGTACTGACGGATAATGATGAACTTAATCATTTTAATTAAACATATGGAAAACGTTTGGATAATTAAAAATTTTGAGAGCAACAATTCAGATTTTATTGCAAATGTTCAGTAGTTCTAAATAGCAGCCTGCACAATTATAAATAGTTGGTATCATCCTATCAGAGTACAAAAGTCTCCCCCCTCCCAACAATCATGTTCCTATCTTGTGGCGTTAAACAACAAAACACGTTTCCTTTAGTTAGTAAATTATTAGGCAACTTGTTTTTGTTCAGAAAACAAAATAATGCACATATCAGAGATACATGACTTACAAAAGTTTTGCTTTTCTTTGCAGACAAAATATAAACAGCGCTGCAAACCGGATGCAAGTGGGGACCAGAGTTTACAAACATTCACACACTTCAAAATAAAAGCATCAATGAGCGCTCCAAACACTCCACATGCACCCTCTGTGTTGAAAACCAGCCACCAGGGCTCATTACTGATAATGAGGAACAGCACGCACACTTCCTGCACAAGCTCCATCATAAATCACAGTCAAGAAGGTATTTAATTGTTTAAGGCGAACAATATAAACACAGCAACGAGTTAAACAGACGCACACAGCTCGCTGCTAAATTAGCATATGTGACTCTAATTAACCAATTAACCAGCAGCGCGCAAACTAGCGAGCAAACAGACAAACAAATAGTGTATTTACTCACATGTACTGCTGAAGTCTGGTCCCTTTTCTTCCATGAACATGAAGTTGTCGCTTTTTGTGTGTGTGTTGACAGTCCTCGTCTCCCCTCTGCTGGCAGCCAGCTTCAGCTTGTTAGCGACGCCGAAAACCAGCGTGGCGGACTTTTAATGTTAGCCAACTTTTGTTACCTTTAAAATACCTTTTTTCTTGTTGTCAGAGTGTAGGCTGGCTTCAATACTCACCTCAGAGCTTCTTCTCCATCGACGTGTCTGTCCGCAGTCTCTCCGTCAAACTGCCGCGCTTGTTTGACACTTTCACACCTTTTTAATTAAGGTGCGCCAACTTTCACCTGGTGACGCTTCACTAAGCTGCAGTACCTTTTTTGACCACTACATATAGATTACACGGGGAATTCGTTACCATCCAGAGGGGCGCTGTTTCACTCGTTTGAAGTAAATCAATTAAAATAGACAGGTAAGCAAGATAAACATTTAAATTGACAGGTATCACAACGAAACTTCCACAGTTAATTAATTAGAATAAAACAGTGTGTAAATATATTTAAATGAGGCATTATATAGCTAAACAATTATTTCAAGAACACACTTCTGCACATTAAATGAATTTTGTTGCAATATTAGGAGCCAAGGTTGTTACAGAAGGGATTTTGATTATAAATGTCTCTTTTAATCAAACCATAAATCAGAAAATATCATCAACAGTCAGAAAAAATAAATACTTTTACTCTTAGAGATTTTTATTTTTATTTTGTTTTTAAGTTTGGAGCATGTCAGTGCTGCTCAAGTAGAGATTTGTGGCTTGGAATATGTGAATAAACTCCTTTTGAGAGAACAACCTTGAAAGATATATTAATATAATTTTTTTTATTTTTAATTCTTATTTTTTGGGGGGTCTTTCTTTGCTTTCCCTGCTTGCTTCTTTTTCTTTTCTTTTTTTTTTTAACTTTTTTTTTGTATATTCTTAAATAATTATTTTGTGTTGCTACTGTGATCAAACAATTTCCATATTAGCAAAGTTTATCTAAGTCTAAGTCTACACATATTATAATTGAAATCTGCATATCCAAATACACACAGTGTCATAAAACAAACACTTGAAATTGTTTCTTGGGTGTTTTCTGTCTTCTTGCCTGTGAGAAAACACATTATTATCCCTAAATCTCAAAATTGCGGATGAAAAAAAAAAAGATTCTGCCTGTAGTGTGTCTCTGGGTACATCCACCCAACCGGTGGAGGCAGATGGCCGTCCCTCCCTGAGCCTGGTTCTGTCGGAGGTTTTTTTTCCCCTGCGGGGGTTTTCGGTTCCTTCCCACTGTTGTGGACTGCTTGCAGACTGCTGAAGCTTATAGGGAATCCAGATGTTTTGGATTGTTGGGTGTTTTTGTTTCTGCCTTTGTGAAGCGCTATGAGATGACTTGTTGTTGTAAATATGCGCTATACAAATAAAATTGAATTGAATTGAATTGAATCCAGCATGTTCTGTACTTGCTGATTGTTTGTTACCATGGTGCTTTTTATTTGTTCAAGCCAAAAATCTGTTTTCAACTCTGATCAGGTAAAATTTAAACTAAAAAATGCACAATAAAACAAATTAACCTGTAATGTGGCATTAATATTATGCAGGACATCAGCAGATCAGAAAATTCAATACACAGCAGGCACAGAAACAACAAGAGAAATATTAAATCCACTGAATGTCGATGTAGCTTTTTATTTGCAGATACGAATCTACTGGAGACTTGAGGTCCAAGTTTGATCCAACAGTTTATTCACTGACAGACAAATGGGTGAAATAAATAGAGGGGGATGATTCTCTTCATAGTCACTACTGCAATCATTGTCATCACTGTAACATCTGAACACACAACACATTTACATCAGTCAGTTTCAGTTAAATACATAAGTTAGAGCCAATAGCTGGCATACTGTATAACATGGCTTACATTAGTGTGGTTCTAAATTCAGTAATGTGTCATTTGTAGGTGAAGTCTTGAAGCTAAAAGCTTTAGCAGTTTGTTTGTTTTTTCTCCAAATGGCACGTCTCCAGACGCTCATGAGAAAAATGCCGCTTCTCTGTACAAATCATCTTTAGTGTGATCAGCCGGGTCGAGTAGAAAATAACAAGTGTTACAAATCAAAGTCGGAGTAAAAACACAATAACAAATATAAAAAATAAGAAATCATTCTACAGTAAGTTGCATATTGACATCATAAAAAACATTTTTTCCAGTGTTGTATTGCTTTGACTTTGGTCTTGAAACAGAAAGAGCGTTCAGCGGTCTCACTGGGAGTGTTTTTGTTTAGCTCCGGGCAGAATGAAAAACGGTATCTGGACATCATTTGGGTAAAACAGTGGTTCCTTCCTACGCAAACGATAACACAGAGTCAGTTCAGTGCATTTTTCACAATCAGATAGTAAATGAACCTAAACGGCTTCTAGAAACCTCTCAGCTGGTAGTGTTGCAATAAGAAAGTGATATAAACTGAAAATACTTGAAGTGTCTATACTGCTCTGTACTGTGTGGGTTTGTATTTTCTTTACATTGTTGTCGACGTATAAAGTGAAGTTTTGAAAGTTTTCATCGCTTTTATACTATAGTATACATGTGACGCATTATGCTACGAGTTTATTCTAATGTGTTTGATTGTATCTTAGCTCATACTTTAAACAGTTATTGTTCTGACATGCGGAGCGAAAACTGCTAACCGTAGTACCACGAGTTTCAAAAAAGGTACATAGACATCAAAACTGTAAAGTTGAAACAGGCAGTGGATACTCTAATCAGCCTCCAGAATTATGTTGAGTTGATGTTAATTGCTCCTATGTTTAGCTTAAATTCAATTAGCTCAAGAAAAAGGTATTAAACACTGCATTTTCCTGATGGAGGCTCCAGCCCTCTACAACCCTAGTGAGGATTAAGCGGTGTATAGATAATGGATGGATGGATTTTCCTGACAGTCCCCACTGAGTGTTGGGAAGTGAAGACAAAGGATGTTTCTGGGCAACACAGATTTTAGCAGAACTTGATAGTAAACAAACTTCATTAAAGAGGCAGTTTTGGAATTTTTCTGCAAGATAATTCAAAATCATGTCATTTTAAAATATTGCTTTGGATGTGCAATTTGATTGGATGTTAATTCCTGAGAAACTGTGTCACAATAACAAGATGATTTTCCAGTAGGTACACATTTCTGAGAGGTTTAAAACGATCAGTTAAAATACAATCAAATATCCCACTGATTAAGATTGACTGTTAACCCACTGATTGAGCCGTCAAACAATGATCTGTAAGCAGAAGTAGAAAAACTGTCACAGTAGGACCAAGAAAAAAAATCAACAACTTATAGGGATCCATAAAGTGTTCTGTCACAAAATGTTGAGCGAAATCTTTTCATTTCAATCTTCACAATACACTGAGACCTGTCAGCTAATTCTGTAAAACCTGCTTCTAAGTGCTGGTAAATGGAGGTTTATAATTTGTTAGTGTGTGAATCAATAACATATGAATTTCAAAAGGTGATTTTAAGATGATTAATATTTAAAACTGAGATAAAATTACTTCTCATGAACGTATATTTCAAGTTTCATTGAAGGATTTCATTCACATACTGTTGTGATATCTTTCTGAAATATAAAAACCCATGTCGAGCTCATATTCATGCACCGTCAATGATGAAGATGAAGGTAAATGAGAAAAGGCGTTTCTTTTTTTTTTTTTTTTTTTTCGTCAATGCTCCAAAGTCGAAGTCAAGGAGCGAGACAGAAAGGGATGACATCATCTCTATTATGGCTTCACAGCTTTATGGTCAGTTGGGATGGCGTCGCTAATGGCTGGCAGGCATTTCCTCTTGGTCCACAGTTTGGCACGCAGGTCACTGTGAAGGTCAAAGCAAGTGGAAATGGAGACACGTTGAATGGCAGCATGAACGACTGGCAGCTTCTGTCCACCCACGCTGAATGACAGCTCTTGTCATTTGGTCATTTAAAAGTCAGAAACTGGTCTCATCCGTGATGTTCAGATATAATCTCAGAGGTTAGTCTCGTCCCAGGTGGGGTCGTTCATATTCTTCAGAACTCTCCTGACAATCCTCTCCAGCTCCTTTCTCGCTCGCTGCTCCTCCTCCAGCGTCCTCTTCATCCTCTTGTTGTCCTGGAGGACGAGGGAAAGGACAAGAAAAGAATATTAAGTACAAGAAATGAAGGATGAGGTTATATTAGATTAAACTAAAATAAAGCAATGTTACAAAGACAGGAACAAGAAAGGAAGAAAGTCAGAACTTCATTCCAAATGTACCACAGCAACAACAGTGTGGCAACTTAACCACAGAACTACAATATTAACAATTATATAAAGATAAGACATCCACTATAGCACATATCCCACATGAACAATGCAGATATTGTCAGAGATGCATTTAAAAACATTGACAGCAACTTCCTGCCTCTTAGACACAGAACATCTGTTGTCTGTTGTTGATCCTGGATCTTATTCTGAACTTTTAAGTGGAGCATTTAAAGAATAAACTTACTGACAGTAAGAAGTTTGTAATACATTCCAAAAAAAAAAATACAGACTCACCTGTTTAAGCTCCTGGACCTCATCTTTGAGACTGTACACAGTGTCCACCAGACTCCTGCATGAACAGAACACGTCCTTTTTACTTAACCCTCTAAACCCCAAGCAGTTCCTTGATTTTTTCACAATTTTATAGTTTTATGTTTCACTTCAGTCACTTGTGCTTGTGTTGTTATTGGTTTTGTTGTTTGTTCAGTGTTCGTCATTCACAGTATCTGTATTTATATCCTACGTTTTAAGACTGTGTCTTTATATCTTCTGCTGCAGTGACTCTTGTTCCCACAAGGACGACAATTAACGTCTAAATTATCCGTGTGGATGTACACAGCAGAACACATAAAAACACATTCTCACCTCTCCTCCACTACAGTTTGTCCGTTGCTTCGGGTTTCCTCCACTATAATCTTTTCCTCCTCTGGAAACAACACCTGGACATCCTTCCTACTGGAGCCTGAGTGAACAATGACAGTTATTAACACACAATATATGACATACGCAAGTGCACAAAACATATTTTGCTTTTATAAATTGATGAACACATACGTTAAAGTGAAGAACATTAGAGGGGCTTGGATACTTGCATGTCTTACAAACTACAAGCAAGCAGATGATACAGTACTTTGGCAGTTTGCAGATCTAAAGCAACAAGCTACTCTGGATGCAAGACACAATTGCAGTAACAACATCTGTGCTCTGACAGAAAATCAAGAAATGTCACTTAAATGACATCAGCTGTAGTTGCACTTTAGCACAGTTTTTTTGCACATAAACGTCCATGGAAGAAATTTTCCATGCACATCATGATAGTATGACAAACTTGTAATTTTAACTAATATTCAAGTGTGTCAGAGGAACACCCAGTGTGAGCCTGCCACAGTCAGTAAGTGACACTTTCATTCATGCACTGCATGGCTCACTGGCTGCTGTGACCACTAACTATACTGTTGCTGCACTGCTCCACTTGCTTGTTTTGTTTGCATGCAGTTAAACACACAGTCAACCAATAAATAGACCACACTCTAAGTACACTGACTCTATACTCATTGGGATACACACAGGCTTATACACAAGGACAGCTACTCAGTAAAATATAGACACAGACACACACAAGGCAAGTAAAGGGTTTGGGCCGATATGCTGACTTATACCTCTATTACTTATTGTAAACTAACTGATTCACCAGAGGTTTTCAACGCCAATAGCTTACGAGAAAATGAGGCAGTCCTGTAACTATGTGCAGTCCAGATACTGTCATAATCTGAGTCTTCTGATTGGTCAGAACAAGGCAGGTTGCCAGGGAGCCCAGCCACAGTGAGGCTGGAGTCAGCGAGCACGTGGTTGTGCATGAGGTCAGTCCCTTGCCAGGCTTTACAGAGTCGCGAAGTTGCCAGCAGTAGATGGAGTTTGAACAAACCAAATTAAGTGTTGGAGGGATGAGTGGGGAGAGGATAAAAATAAGGGTGTTGGGCAAACCATATTGAAGGCGTGGGCAGTAATTTAAAAAAAACAAACCAAATGAAAGCAGAAATAAATATAAAAGAGAGTTTGGATGAGATAAAGTAGGTAAATGTAAGGAAACAGAGGAAGACACAAACAAGATGGTGTTAATAGAAGAGTTGATAAATAAAAGAACAAATGGAGGATGAGGAACGCAGAGGAATTAAGGTAAGACATGAAGAGAGAAGAGAGAGAAACCATTGTTAGAGCCAGAAGCAGAGAACAAACACTGGTTAGCAATCAGACATACAGCAGCTATGTGTGTGTCAGTGTGATTACATGTGTATGGTGTTCTTCAATATGAATGTGCTGATGTGTGTACTCACTGGAGTTCAGAGTCTGTCTTGTTTTGGCACTGGTACAATAGGCCTCAATCACTTTTAGTATCTGAGCGTCCTCTTCTAGAGCTGCTGTACCTGCGAGACAAGGACAGGACGAGTTAGAGGACTGAACTGATGAGATGGAATAAAGTGAAGGAGGAAAAAGCATTCGAATCGACCTAAATGTGTTCAGCAGAGAACTAGCACTCTCAAAAATGGAGAGCTTTTTGCAAGATTGCAACTGAAACTACAACAGTTGTAGGAATAAACAAAGATGCCTATGAGTAGTTTTTTTAACGCCAAGTTTCCACTATGGAGGTAAGTAATGTGTTATTGTGTTTACTTGAAAATCAGGGGTTTTATTTGTCAAATTTGATGAAAATGCATTAAAATGAAACTTGGCTTTTGGGTTGTCACTATAGGCCAGTTGATGTTTTTAATCTTTTATATAATGTTCAGATTTTCCCACATCGGTATTACTGCAGACAAACAAGCCGAGTGTTGACTTAAGAAAGATTAATGAGCTCATTATTTAACATTACCACAAAAGGATGTTCATCAGTAAAGTTTACGCTAACTTTAAAGAAATGAATTTAAACAGTTTTCTTAAAAACTGACTAAGACATCTTAAAGTCAAGTCACTGTTATTTATATTGTACATTTACAACAACAGACAATGATGCTTTTTGAAAAGGAAAACAAGATCAGTGTCACAAATAAAATCAATGTGACAAAAATGTCTCTAATAGCTTTTTTAACGGCTACATTTTTTTCTTTGCAATTGATTTCTGTGTTGTACTTACTCTTCCTGACAGTGAAGTCTTCTTCTGAAGGTTTCCTCTCCGGCTTCCTCTTAGGGAGCAGCTTCTTCATGTTCTTAGGACTCTTACTCATATCCTACAAAGAAAAAAAAACATCTCGGTCTTAGACAATTGACGTGGGATAAGTAAATGAATTGGGAAAATCTTCTTAAAACATCCTACAGAACCCTGGACATCCCCAGACCCAACTTCGCATATACTACAGTTTTTCATTAAGTCCCAGTGTGCAACACCTCCTTGTAGCAGAGAGCAGCAGAGGGCCGAAGTGGAGGCGCAGGGCGAAGGCAGCTCAGGCTCCAGGGTTTGGGAGTGCTTGGTGGCTCCAGGGGTCCCCACATAGGGCTGCTGCTGTGGCCCATTCCATACGAGGAGGGATGAGGAAGAGTGTGGTAGGTGTGTCCAGTGCTTCCTCCACGAGACTCAGAGTGTCTGGTGGGAGTGACGGGATGAGAGGGCAGCTGGGAGGAGACAAGGAGGTGGGCGAAGTAGAAATGAGGACAGCAAAGAGAAGAGAGACCGATAAGAGGCCAGCGAAGTGGACGGAGATCAAATGACTAACTGGTTAATTAAATTATTTTCCAGAAAACATGGAAACTTACTGTGTGGCAGATGGACTGAGGCTTGTGCGAGTGTGTGTGCGCAGTCGGAGTGTGTGTGTGTTTGGTGAGGAGGTCCAGCCAGTCCTGCAGATCTTGCTGAGTGTTACACGCTACCTGCATTCGCTCACACTGACCACCTGCAATAACAACACACACAACCAAAGGGATTAAATATTAGACAAGCAAACATATGCACCTCAAAGACACACACAGCTATTACATCTCAAAAGATATCAAACTTTGGCAAAGGACTTTTCTGACTTGTTCCAGTGAGTCAGTGGTGTCCTACATTACCTATAATGCCTTTGAACAGTACAGAGAGAAAAGTTCTGGTGAAGTACTTTATATTTAGCTTGTAAACAGTGAGGATGGTGAAGATACACCATATGGCCTGAACACGACTGTATGATATGATGGTGGAACTGATCTGTATGGGTTGAGTTCTCTGTGATGTATTGACTTTCGAACTAATAAACTCCAATCGTAGCTTTGTTTGACATGTAATGCCATATAATTGTATAGGTTTATGGATGGTACTTAACTACTGATAGGTTACTTCTGGTGAATTTATAATTATTTCCCAGAACACACACAGTTTCTTTTCATAAATCAAGTTTATAAATCAAGACGTAATTTTTTTTTCCAATTTCCTTATCTTATTCTATCAAAGCTGCTAAAATCATGTAAAACTCTATACATGACTTAAGCTGAAGTCAAGAGAGAGGGCTGACCTGATATTTCAAAAGCATTCCTCAAGTTTTCTTGATCTTCTATCCTGGAAATAAGCATTCCTGATAATGGCATCCTCCCCTGCAGAGAGACAGTGTTAGTCAGTGCACCAGAGTGAAAATCAGGTAGAAACAGCTCAAAGAACGTACAATGAACACAAACATATGTTGCCGTGTGCATGTTACGTATATGATAATGTAAATGTTGTTTCTATTGTACAAGTAAACAAAGCAGGGGTGTCCAATCCTGGTCCTCGAGGGCCACAATCCTGCATGTTTTAGATGTTTCCCTCTTCCAACACACCTGATTCAAATGATCAGGATCATTATGAAGCTCTGCAGAAGCCTGATAACGATCTTCATCATTTGAATCAGGTGTGTTGGAAGAGGGAAACATCTAAAATATGCTGGATTGTGGCCCTTGAGGACCAGGATTGGATACCCCTGAAATAAAGAATATTTATTCAGAGATCAAACTTAATAACTTGTACATACCTGGTAGATAAATCCACTCATTCTCAGGCTGGCAGAGAGTACGAGCAGAGTGTGAGGGAAGAGGATGAGGTAGCGTTCATTTGACTCCTGAAAGACAAAATTCTTTTGACATACTTTCTCATGGACACTCAAACTATGACTGATTTGTGATGATGTGTTTCTTTTATTCAGACAGAGAAAGGCAGCCTCAGATTATAGCTAAGCTGTTTACAGGCTGTGATGAGTACCTGACAATTCTGCGTGTGAACTGTGGTGTAGGACATGTGGAGGACAGGTCCAAGGGTTTTGATGTCATCTCCCTCCCAGTTTCTGATTGGCTCTGTTAAAATCTGCAACTCCAGGTCCTTCTTCTTCCTCACGTCCTGACACTGAGCCTGAGCACAGACAGAAGCATACAGCAGGCCCGTAAGAAGTCAGCGGGATAATTTTGTGTGTTGGATACACTGTGCAATTTGACAAATGCTAGATAAGTGGCAGAGTTGGTGGAAGTGACTGTAAAACTAAAAAGCATACTCAAGACAAGTTTAACACCTAATCAGTCACAAATAAGATGAAGCTACGAGATGAGCATGTGTCTTACTGCAAGGCTTTTAAACGCCGTCATGGAAGCATGGAGGTCACCTCTGTCTGGATGCTGGTCCTAGACATGGAAAATATTAAACATGAATAAACACAAGAGAAAGAGCTCTGTCTCCCCTGTTTAATAATTAACTGTGGTTTCCCTCGACGGCAACAGTCACCTCTTATCACGCAGCAAAATATTAAATAAGCAGGACTGGAGTAGACCAACGGAAGCACAGACAGACGGAGATTCAGACTTACTTCCATATGTCTGTCCAGCTCTTTCAGTAGTGTTGGGTATCTCTCTAGTCTGGTGAAGGGTTTACTCAGACTAGTGGTCAGTGTCAAGATCCCAGGACTAGATGCCCCTTTTGACTCCATGTACTCCCCTAATTCCTCACTGTGACAAACAAAAAAAACACATTTTACGAGCCTTGTTATCTGACTTTCTCTTTAATAGTAGAACAGTTTTTGTTGTGGTTTAAATGCATACACATGGTATTTCTCAGAGTGTACCTGTGTTGTGTGAGTACATTAACAGCAGACGGGTGGTTCGAGCAGTAAGCCACATAGATGATCTTCATCTGGGGCATCAGGCTCAGGAAGAACCCCCCGATCTTCTGCTGGTTCTCAGGAAGTCTACATACACAAATGACAATATTAGACTGGATAAAAATGGACTCCTTATGATTAATTATACAAAACAAGCTACACTGGGTACGTTGCTGTGTTTGGTTAATTAGCCTTTAAGAGTTTCAGTTAAAATAATCTTCAGCCAGACACCTGACCTGCTGCCTTTTGCTGGGCTTTTTGAAAAACAACCTGTGTGACTCCACTTGATCACTAGATGTCTCTGTTGCAATAATAACTGGCTCCTGAGCTCCACTAAAGTCAGATTGTTAGTTCAACAGGATGTTCACAGGAGCAGTTCATCTGGGTATTGTGCAGGTTTCAGCCTATAGAAAAGCTCGAAGATATGTTTTACACTTGGACGTGAATATAGAACCAATTTGAAGACCTTGACAAATAATTAAGAATTAAAATACTCATTACTGTTCTGAAACAATTAATGCACAAGACAAAAAGACAAAATTAACTTTTGCTCGTAGGTATCATTTTTATTGTTGACAAATTGGCTGGTTTGTACCGTGCAAAACCTTAAGATATTAATTTAATGCCATTTAAGATGGAGGAAAGCAGCAAGGGCACACATTTTAAATGCTGGAAACAAAGGTTTGACAGTTTTACATTTAAAAATCCTGATTAATCAATTGTAAAGATTATGTACATTTAGTTTACTATTAAATATTGTAGACCATTTTAGTTTTTCTGTTGACTGTGCTCTCATGGTGAAACACTACAGCATTATTATCTACATTTTATAGCTTCTAATATCCAATATATTTTATTCTAAACTGCTAGCTTGACCTTTTCTAAATGCATTGTTATACAAAGCCTTCTTTTTGCCAACTAATAATGACAAAGCAACATTGCATTTTAGGGCTCAGTGAATATCTACTGACTTGGTATGCTCCTCCAAGGACTGAACCAACATCTGCTGAAAGGTTGAGATCTCCTCCAGATTTCCTTGAATGTGACTGATGTCAACACTGCTGAGTCTGCAAAACAGAGGGGAGAGGAGATGAGTGTTTTCTGGTTTTAAGCCTGATTGATTGGTATATCAGTATAAATGCTGTCTATATCTGCTCTTTCACTTTAATGGTCTTCAGATAAAACATCAAGTAGATTCAGCTATTTTGTGATGTTAAGTACTGTTATATATATATATAACCATATATTATTAAATTCTGCCTCATCACTTCAAGGAGTTCATCCAGCCATGATTATATAAAGTCAGTACATTGCGCCAGAAATAATTCAGACTCCCCATATCCACATGAAGATTGATTAAACCTCCTACAAAATCAAAATGGATCAGAGTCTGTATATTAATGTGGGTGAGTCAGACGTATTCAATAAAAACTCTGGCATAAATAAATCTTTTTTTAATATACATTATATAAATAGGATAGACGTGGTGTATATGTATATGCAGTATGTACTATGTGAAATCTGGACAGGTTACAATAGATAGGGAATGCAACAGAGATGGTGGTGTGTGTTCCATTATCTCGGACATCTGACTCAGATGAATAAAATAACAAAAAACTTAAAAATAACTCCACCTGTCTGTGGGATGAAGTGAGCGAAGGTATGAACCCAAGAGACTCTGCAGCTCCCTCGAATATTCACTTTCTGCTTCTAGGATGTTCTGCAGGACCTGGCAAAGACATGACCCACACACACACACAGACTGATATATTATTTACACTCAGTGATATAATTAAGTAGAAATTGAAAAGTCGAGCACTACCAAAAAAAATCACAAAACTTTCTATCATGGTTCTCACATTTCCCTCTAATGTCTTTTTAATTGTAGAGAAAACACATATGAGAGCTGTGCAGAGTTATGATAAGAAGCGAGCTGAAAATCTAATCAAAACTTCTTTTTTTTTTTTAAAGCAAAAACACTAAATAGGCTCTGCTTTCAGCATTAAGAATACAAAACAAGACCCCAAATCCTGGCAGGTCAAACTGAGTCTATAAGTAGATGTCTTTTCAGTGGGAGGTGCATTTTGTAATAAGTTAATGGAGAGAGTTATCAAACCCCTAAGGAGCTGTAGCACTGGCTCGAGCAGCTTTCCAAGGCTCTGATTCCACAGACTCTTTTTTTTTTTTAATTAAAAAATGATGTATGAGAGGACACAGAGTGGATTCTGGCCGGGGCACCAGGAAGACAAGATGATAAAAACCTCCGTGTTTTTTAAACACACAAAGGAAAAAGCCCAAAGCCTGCATCTTATACTCATACGAGTACTGCTTTGGGGGGGCTCTTTTAGAAGAAAAACTTTTATCTCTGACTTCGTTTCTCTGTTACAGTTCTGTCTGGGAACAGCTTTGACTTCAGGCAGGGTCCGTGCGAGTGTGTATGAGACAAACCCAGGTGCTCTAACCAAAGATGGACTAGAGAGACTGTGACAGCTTGTTGCATTATTAAAAACACACACAAACACTCACGCACACACCAGCAGGAGCCAACCCTGGGGCAAGGCTGCCCCAGAAACCACTGGAATGGAAGAAATAACCTACATTACATTCGCTGCACTCTCTCGCACACGGATGACACATGCAGGGGTGCCACGCAGGCTCCTGCAACTGATTACATGCTCATAAACACAGAGACACAGCTACGCAGTCATTAATTAGATGTGTGGATGAAAAGTAATTGATTGTGACAGTCCCCAAAAGCAGATACACGTGTGACAACCACCCATTAACTGGTTCACTCCAACAGTCTACCCTTACAGCTGCACCGACAGATACAGAACGCAAACACAGTGACGGTAGTTAATTTAATTTCTGGCTAATGACATGGTAAAATTTAATCACATCCATGTTTTTTATGCCTAACTTGCATCCTAAACTTAATTTAATTCAGATTCCAAATCATATTAAATCTGGTAGAAGTCAGAACCAGTAGCTTTTCCTTCTCTTTACTTGCTTGTGTGAACATTTGGTCATCATAACGGAGCACGTTTTAATTGGCAAACACTAAGAGATATGCAAACACACACACAAACAAACGCAGATTTTGCTTAAGATCGTGATGCTCACCACATTGTAGTAGGTTTTACTGATGATAGTGGTGTCGAAGCCTTTGGGCGGACTTTTCAGTGTCCCACACTTGGGCTTGTCTGATGCTTTGTCTGAAAACAGGGAAATGGGGACAATGGTGAGAAATGAGGACAAAAGCAAGCTACAAGTGAGTTGTAGCAAAGATAATTTCAAGTAAGTGCATGTATCACATCATATACTGGTTGCGATATTAATGCACTGGCTGTTTTTTTTATTTATTTCTTAACAAAAAGAACAAACGCTATGAAAATAGGAAATCAAAGTAAAGAAAGAGACACTTCTCGTCAACAACATTCATAAATCTGTGGCAAAAGTGGTTCAATTGTCCATTCAACACAGAAAAATGTGGAAGTTTCAACATTTCCCATCTGCAGGGCAATGTTGTGGCCCTGACAGTATGTAGGACAGTCAGCGATTAAACACTATAACTCACTGACTCCACAATGTCATGTCATTTCAATGTCCTGGCTGCTGCTAGTGCATCGCTGTCGGGCCAATAATAGGCATATTGTCATATCCTTCTTTTCACTGTTCGCCTGTGCAGACATTGTGCTCTAAAGCTACAGTATTTTCGAGATAAAGGGTAGCTTAATGTACTTTTTTAAATATATCTGACTGACTGGAGAACGTAACGACCTACTAGAGGTTTAATTAGCAGTTATATTTTTCTATATAACCTATAGTTCAAAGGCTCACTCTCAGTAACAATGATTCCGTAAACCAAGATAACAGGCACATGGAGCCTCCAATCCACCGATGTTTACTTAACAAACAACCACAGCCATCATAACTTTTGGCATTTCTCGTGCAAGCCTGCTATCGCACGCATCAAACAACTCCCACCGGCCGTATGAATTTACTGCCATCTCGGAGTGCGCTGCTATCATAGTGGTTGTTTTTTTGCAGTGAGCTTCAAGTCAGGAAGTTACTTTTTATACAGCAGCTCTGGCACTTCCTGTCTTTGTGTGCTTGTGAGGCTTTCTTCCTTCTTTCCTGCATTCCCTCCTCCGACAGCGACAAAACGAACCGACGTAATCAAATGAGCCATGAGGATATGGTTGCTGCGAGCACAGGGGGCAGCAGTTAGCAGCTTTGTGGCCTTAATGTTCAGTCTAAGTTTAGAAATGCAGATCATATTTTTATGCAAAACACATCACCACAAAGATGTAAAATCCAGCCCTGCAGACACTGCTATTGCAGTAAATATAGTACAAGTTCAATTGCGGCATCTATCTTGTGTTTTTGGAGGAAAAAAAATCATATTTTGTGCCAGTAAAAGCTGGTAATCCTCTATACAGTTTGATTATTGCTGATTTACAGGATGAGCAACCCCATCTATGACATAAAAAGCTTAACTGCATCCACACATTTGCTAATACAAACTATATAACAGAGGAATGCGACATCACTGGGATTAAGTCTCAGGATTTGGTTCTTCAATTCTAAGTTTTGGGGACCTGAGTTTAAAAACAGAGAAGCAAATGAGAAGAATTTCTGATCTGAGAAAATGATTAAATAAATGTCAAGCACAAATCAGCACTCAGTGACTGTACGTTTCAAGAATAACTTCTTTTTCCAGTTCTTAGGAAATCACACAACAACCTAAAGAGGTCAGGAAGTCGTTATCAGTCAGAACAGATATGGAGGAAGTCTGCTTGTTTGTGTGGATCTGGTCACTGTCTTGACAAAAAGCTAATTTTAAACTCACTTTGGAATGTTTGAGTCTGTATTATGTTTGATGTAATGTGTTTATTTTGCTGCATCTTAGGACTCAAGCTGCTACGTAATACTGTTATAACTATTTTGTTGTCGTAGTGGAAGTACATGCAAACTATTTTAAGTTGAAAAGGTAAAGATGAGAATACTGCAAGTTACAGATGTTACCACAAGACTTAAATGCAGTGAACGTACTAAACCACCAACTGTGATCACAACAATAGAGAGCCAGTTCTTCCCTCTCTGCTCAAAAACAAGAGGGCCCTTATGATGTACAACATCTGAAGCAGTAGGCGCTGCACCCACCGCTTCCTTTCAGCTCCCGCACATAGTTACTGGGGAACCACCCAGTATTGCCGTTCAGCGAGCCTTCCCACCAGCCTCCCTCCTCCTGCCTGCTCACACTGATGATGTCACCCTTGGAGAAAGACAGTTCGTCCTCATTGGTTTGCTGGAAAGGAAAGCGCGCCTTGACCAGCAAATGGCCACACCCCCTGTCCTCTGACATGTCCTGGGAAGAAAGAGAACAGATGTCAGTCTGATTCCGAAAGGACCCTTCTATGTGTATCAGCAGGACTTCAAAGGATCAATACCAGAGTTTCCTTTACACAGTAATATCAGCAGCTGCTGTCAGTGTTTGTCTACTGTCCTTACTTGAGCTTTGTTGTTGTCATTGTGATGGGAACTCACCAGGCTGCGGTACTGAGGCTGCAGCAGTTTAGAGGAGCGACTCTGAGTGTTCAGAGAGTCAAAGGACTTGATCCTCAATGTTGAGGAGCGCGGCGCACACACGCTGTCTCCAGAAACACCCAACTCTGCAGGTGGACAATGCTTCAATTACTAATTTTAAAAAACTAAAATATCCACATCTCATAAGAAACTGCCAAAACTATACAAACCTAAAGAGATTTTATTAAAAATAAACAGTGCTGCATGATATGATCACTAGTTGGGGACAAGGGATAAGTGACTAAAACCAGAATAAGATTGCAAACATGAAAAGATATTGCCAACACACAAAATATTCTTACCTTCAGTAGCTTTGTTAAGGGCAACCAAGGAGTTTAGCACCTTGGAGAAGTTCTGTCCCTGCAGCAGGTCATTGACTTCGAAGGGCTTTATGGAGAGAAAACCAAATAGCGAATATGAAACAACAGCGAGGATGCTTAAAGGGGCTAAAGGCAATGAAAAAATACATATATTCATAAGAAATTTATAGAGCAAGACATCAACAAGGACACAAAGCTGTCTTCCTGAAATAGCTGTGCCACTGAAATGTGGAGGCAAATAGAAATGAAGCAACCTATAACCTCCTGTAGTAATAAGTCAAAGAAGAACTACAGCAAAATAGGGGTTTTAAAAAAGGTACCGCAACAATAAAGCAGATATCGGATGTTGATCCTTTTCCTCATCTTATTTTAGCTTGAATCCCTACTCCATGCAAACTTACACTATGAAGGAGTGTGTCACCCTAAAATTTAAGAAACACAGAGTTTAGTGGGGGGTTGCATCCCTGCTCCAACTGCAGTCTGGAGCAGGATTACTCAAAGTCTGAGCTCCCCCCCAAGTAATCTCCCCATCACACACACACACACACACACACATGGACACACACAGCTATAATCAAAATACCTCTGAAGCTCCTAATCTTGTGTATACGACACATGCTGACTGACTTCTACATTCCCAAGGCGTGAAGGTGGAGCAAACTGAGGCATCAAAGTCAGGTTTATTAAATTACACTTATCCAAATGAAAGACTTTTTAGCGAGAATCCTGATTCTTGATTTGGGTCTCAGTTCCAAAGAAAAAACCACACCATTCCTTTATGTAGTCTTACTTTGAAGAACACACTGCGCTTGATTTATACACACAGGCTGATTGGTAGTCACGGCAGTATGGACCCAACAGTTAATACACACTTTCACCTCTCCGACTGGCACCGGCCCAAGATGCAATATGAGGCTTCCTTCTGCTGTCGAGCTGCACCAGTGTTACGATTACATCTGCACATGTTTTAGGCATTTACAGAAGCTGGTGCTCCTTTCAGGTTCCAGGGAACAATAACAAATCAATAAACTTGATCAATACTGAAATCTGACCCTATGACCAACATGTAGAATGTCAGCAACACGGAAAAGCACTCAAAGAGAAACCGTACTCCTTACTAATGGCATGAAGTCCATTTGATATTGAAGTCGTTGGCAACAGTTTACTGCAATGTATCCGTTAGTTACCTGTCAGTAAACAATGGCCTCAAAAAGCACAATGAGATGGAGATGGAGGACATGTCATCCTTCATGTTCCCAGTTCAGCAGATGAATTTGAATCAGGAGCTGCTGTTAAAATCCACAGTATGTCAAACTTGCTGCACCAAAACATTTTAAGTTGGCTCCACAAATCCATAGAATTCAATTTAAAACAAAAATTGTACATACTAATTATTTATAAAAACAATACAGTAACACAGTTTATTACTACAAAAACAAATGCAGTTCTGCTGTCTGCCCTGGTAGAGAAAATACTCTCGCCTTCAGCAGAGAACACTCTCAGCATGCTTAAAGCGAATGCCTGTGATTGGTCAAACAGCTTACCTGATTATAGGGAGCGCTTGATTTAATGTTGCAGTGAAGGCACTCTAAATGCATAGAATCAATATCCCACCCGATTAAGCTTAATCAATAGCAGAAGCCAAATTTAAAATAGCAACCGTTATCCGATCAATTGTGCCGCTCTTGTTAATCATGGTCAGTGTTCGTCCACACTCGGGCTGGCGCTTGCTGTCCACTTTGTAATCCTCCCCTACTGGACACACGTCTGGCTCGTCCTCTGCTTGTCCGATGACTGTCTGAGAGAATTACTACGGTTGATGTCAGTCAGACTGCTAGTAATGGAGACCTTGGCTTTCTGCAACATGGCTGACATGCCTCTAATCAACTGATTGGAAAATCCACGGACTGCCAGGCATACTGCATTACATCAGCCCACTCTTCTCCTCTCCTTCATTTCATCTTTTCATGCTCTTTCCATTGCTCCTGTAACATGGATTCATTTTTAAAAGCACATCCTGATCATCACGATTATTTTCCAAGTCCAGAGCAAAAACCTTATTATACGTCTGCAAACAGGACTCCTGTGTTGCGTAATAGGCCCTTTTCCATTATGATTTCATGGCTTTTTCCATGGCTAAGATCAATATTGTGTGTGTGGTGTCGTTTTGTTCACCAGCTCTCCCTTCACACCCACTGTGAGGCAGGATATGACCTGGCTTAACCCACTGTTGTGCAAATACAGACGCATGAACACACCTGAATGTGTGCTTTTGTACTCTGTTGACAATACAGATATTGTAAATTAGACATGTCAACAAAAGTCTAACACTTTGTGACGATTTCAATGATTCTAACTTCACATGTCTGTGCCAATCAGCTGTTTATTGGTACCCATAGAGATTTCTTATCAGAGTGGGACATCCAAACTCTTTCAGAATTTATAATCTTCATGATTGTGTGCACACCCTTTGAGGAACAGGATTCCCATAGATAAGCACTGCAGTAAAGATCAGCTCACATAACACATACTATCTGCATCATATCTCTCATTTACAAGGTGTCCAACTGTCTGAACTACAGCCATCCCGTCTATAAAGACAAGACCCATCTATCTGTTGATCTGTTCCACAGGCTCAACCCTACTGCCAAGTCAGAAATGAAAACAGTGATCCGCGCTTATCTCTGCTTCTTGTTTCCATAACTACACAGGCAGCGATACAGAAATAAAACCTGTGGGTTCAAAAACATCTTTTGGGAACAGTAATAGTGCAGACTGAATTTGGCCTGCTATAAATGTGTTACTAACCCTTTCTTAGTAGAATTTATTCATGTCAATACCACAGTGGGCTTCAGGTTATGGGGTCAAGCATATTACATGAGGAAACAGTCCCTTCTGTCTACAACTGCAAACACTTAAATCTTCCAAAGCACCATTCATTGTTTTGCTTATGGCTTTATTTATGAATAAATAGTTGAAATTTTGGTTGATTTTATAGACTGATATGGACCTTTTGCAGATATACAATGAAGCGAAAAAAATATGTTTGGGGTAATTAGGAAACTGTGTCATATTGTTTGTCCAACAGAGCAGCTCCAACTCAATAATCCTGACAACACTCTCATACAAATACTCCATATTTATGTATCTAGTACATATATACTGATCAGCCACAACATTACAACCCCTTACAGGTCAAGTGAATGGCATTGTTCGTCTTATTACAATGTAATATTCTGCTAGGAAACACTGGGTCCTGGCATTTATTTGGACACTGGCACGTACTGCGCATCTAAACATTGTGAGAGACTAAACATATTCCTGACTCTGACAGCAGCGCTCTTCACACATCGCAAAAATTACTCAGGATTGGCTCAATGAGCATGGCAAAGCGCACAAGCTTTAGAACTCCACAGGCCGACTGAGAATCCACAGGATCAGCCGGAACAAACCCGATCCACAGAAGCCCTATCCCACAACCTACAGGATCCAGAGGTCCTGGTGTCTTCCATTAGTACCATTCCCCTGACAGATCAGAGCTGTTCTGACACCATTAGACCCACACAATGTTGGCAAGTGGTTTTAATGTTATGGCTAACCGCTGTGTGTATATCTAGAAACAGTATCAGCTGTTGTATCGATATCAGAATTTTTCAGTGCCTAAAAATGTGTATTGGCATCAGAAAGTGTGAAACCCATGAATAATCATAACTAATTTATTACTAAATGCTAAGATCTTGGCACAGGCAAACTTACACTGATGTACAAAACCTTACCAATGATGAAGAAATGATCAGCAAAAGCACAGCAGAAAAACTCACATTTTTCTTAAGATATCAGTAACACCGTCTGTTTGTGTTATGAATCACACAATTGAGTGTATATCAGTGTGTTTAGACGTTTGACCAGCTAAGAAACCTATTTGATTAATGGAGTACATTTATAAAAATCCCATTTTAATGTATTTTACTAACTTATTATGAAAGAAAATCTGAAAATAAATCTCCCACAATAGGGCAATTATGGGTAACAATTCCTCTCCTGGCCACTAGAGACAGTCGAGTTTCATTTCAGGTATTTTCTTTGCTGATAGCAGCTTTGCTAAATAGCTTTGAAATCATTTTACTGGTAAGTTTTTATTTATGGATTTGTGATATTTCACCAGTACAAAAAGGGCTTCTTTGTTGTTTTATTGAAACTATTTTTTAATGTTTACAAAAAAAGTTTAATTACAGTGTCTAAATAGCTAACTAGGCAACTGAATGTTAAGCTAATTTTGCTATATTAGCGTAATGTAGCATTAGCTAGCTAGCTTGAATTCTATGCTAGCGTAGGCTCCCTGGTGTTTGGTGATTTGATATTGTTATGTCAGAAATTTAAATATAAATGATAATAAAGTTATGGTAAAGTTATTCTAGACTCATAAAATATAAGTTAAGTGCCAACAATCACGTTTTAATTTAAAAAAAATAAAAAATCTTCCCCGGCTCGGGGAGTAAGATGCTAGTTTTAAGGATGCAGTTTTACAATGACAAAGTTGTACTCTGTTGTGTTCAATACCGTCTAAATTTGTTCAGTTATCCATGCTTACTGTGAACATATTATACTGATATTCCAATATAATTTTAAAGAAACTATACATTGTTCCTAATGGGGGCGTCTTAGCCCCGTTAACCCCGTGAACTCCTCCTCAGCTCCACGGCACAGAAGCGGTCTCCTGCCGCTCACAGCAGTAACGGCTAAACGGTATAAAAGGATAAAGACGTCACGGATAAATAGTTGACTAAGTAAGTTTTAAAACCTGCTTTAAACGGTATATGTGTCTGCCGAGGCATACGTGAGCCTGCTTTCGAGGCTTCCCACGGTGTCTGTGCATGAATAAATCCATTATTGATGCGTTAACTCACCTCCACGGCGAAAGCCCCGCAGCCTTTAATAAACTCGGCAATGTTCCTCTGACACTCGCTGTCGCTCCTCGGTTCTTGGAAAAACTACACACGCAGGAGAAAAAAAAGCAGTAAGTTAGCTCCTTACAGTCGCTCGAAATATAAATGAGCTGTCGGTGTAGGTGTTAAGAGATTTTTTCGCTTGAAAACAGTCTTATTCCTGGCGTTTCTGCTGCACTTGCCACTTGCTGCTTTCCAGGATCAAGCTAGCGGAAACAACGAGCTGCACCTCCAGGTTCGACTTTCAAATTAAAGCAATAATAAGTAACAGCATTAACAATATCTAAAACACATTGAAAATAATAATAATAATAAAAACTGTATGCATTATATTACCTAAACGATTTATAAAAGTCTGAATCCTTCTCAAAGGTTAACAAGCTGAGTCAAATGTGCGTCTAAAGAAGCGCAATAATTAGTTAATGGACTGTTGCACAGCTGGTGGCATGTTGGAGCTCTTGTTTTGAAACGCTCACTCTGTGTTGTATTGTGTTAACACAGGTAACTTTGAATCAGATCTACAATCTGCCTGGGAGATTGGATAAGCCAGAGGAGGATATGACGTTCACAGGTTCATGGTCCAGTGTGTGTGTGTGTGTGTGTGTGTGTGTGTGTGTGTGTGTGTGTGTGTGTGTGTGTGTGTGTGTGTGTGTTAGAGAGAGAATCACATTCAAATTTTACATTCAAATTAATGGCATGTACAAAGAGCCACTGAGTCTCCAGCATGAACCAGGTCTGATCAGCCTGTCCTGTAAAGTCGTGCCACCACAGGACAAACACACACACACACACAGCCAATGCAGTATCACAGCCGGAAATGTCATCGTCGAATGAGCTGACACTCAATAAAACTAGTTGTATGAATGTATTTTTGTTGGCATTAGCGGTCTTGAGCAATGGCAGATAAGAAAAGATAAGATTCTTGTTTTAGGCAGGAGGGCACATTCACAGCTCTTTCCAACTACTCTCTGAGAATTAGGAAAGCCTCGAGGAACTCTGGGGATGCTAAAGCAACCTTGTGTGCTTAAGTGGAGAAACCATTAACAGCTCAATTCTGAAAAGACATTACTGGGCACCATTTTCCTCCACAGGGGCAATGGAGAGGAACCCCTAAAGGTTCCTCGATGCTATTAAGAGCGTACACACAACGAGTAATGTAATTAAGCAAAAAAATGCACCACTTGGCATAAAATAAAACTGCACATACCGTATATAAAACCATACGGTGAACACATTCCCATCTGAAACATGCATTCAGATGGGCGTAGGCCAAACGCATCAAGAGTCGGATTGAGCTTTTGTTTGTTGAGCAGCGTGACAGAAGTAAGAATAATGGACGGAAGGCTCTGTAACATCTACAAGAAGGCTCATAATCAGAACATGAAATGCATGAGGAGTCCCTCGAGATCTTGTGTGCACGTCTGACAACAGTTTGTTCACATACGGCGTTCAGCTTTCATTACTCACTTACTTCATTTGTGTATTTTGGACTTTAAAAAGACAGTGACTACACTCAGTGTTACAGAATGTAAGCGTGGTGTTTGCATCAAACAGTGTTGCTTTTGTTACGCAACAATCAGGTCACATTTCCATACTACTTGCCACGTTTTTAATCCTATTTGTTCATCTTTTCCCCTCACAGGAATAGAAATAAACAGCCTGAATGATTTTAAATTAGATAACATGAAAATAAACAAAGAAGGAAGAATGAAAAGGAAGCCTGTTACACAATGAGGAACTGTATAATAAGGAGACAAAAAGGGGAAATTAACAAATCCAGTTGCTATTGTAATTAATAATCATAAGCATTGCTGTTATTTAGGATACATTAGACTTTAATAATATTAGAATATTAACAGTGGGGGGTTTTCAAGTACTAAAAAGGTGCTTTTTTGATTGTAATCTCTGCACAGGAAATGGCTCAATCATGTCAAAGCTCACAGAAATACAACTTTTTCTTTGTTTTTTTCTGTTTACTCCTATTTTTCTCCAGGAGCTGCTTATAATAAAGGAGCTAATTAGGTTTATTTGTTAATTTATTTAATTATTATGTCTCATAGAGGCTGACAATTCCAGCTGTTCTGCTTGTATATGCATTTTCAGGTGTTTAATTTACCAAATAGAACACAGTGTATGTAATATTGTTTTTTTTTCCGTGCACCTACTTTGTCCACCGTCCCGGGTCGGAGCCGCTCCAGCAGCCTGCACAGCACCGCTCCATCCTGCAGGGAGGTCTGGAGGAAAGCTTCTGGATCCGAGATGCTTTTCTTGGGAGACTCCAGGACCCCCAGCGTGATGAGCCACGTTACCGTCTGCTCGGCTGAAGTCATGTTCGGATCTCAGTTGTCATAAAACAGCAGCAGCAGCAGCAGGACTCCTTTCTCCACCAGCTCTCCCTCTGTTGGTGTCTGTCCTACTTGTGGTTCGTCCAGACCGAGGCAGCAGACAGATCCAGCCCCGCCTCGCTGAACATCACAATCAAAGCGCGCACTGCTGGCTGCGTCCTCGGGCTGTTTTCCAACACAGAGAATAAAGGTGGAAGTGAGGAATCAGGCTCCTTCAACAGCGGTGCATTGTCTCTCTCTCTCTCTCTCCGTCAGCGGATGTTGGCATCACCTTTGCTCGTGCACAGCTGTGAGTGTAAAAACAGGTGCTGTAAGAGAAGTCTGCCTGTGACCGCTTTCAAAATAAAAGCCTCCACACAAACAACAACATTAAAGATCCCATATTGTGCCAATTTTTAGAAAAATAATACAAGTCTGACATGTCTCCACAATGTGTCTTTATATTTATTTTTCTAAAGCTCAAAATAGTGCAAAGTCCATTCATCAACTAGATGTTTTACAATCCAGAATATTTTGTTCTACAAATTTACAAGGAAAACTTCACTTTTGATCAACATTATTATTATTATGGGTAAATAACACATCTATTAAAAAAAATCTGCCAAACTTAAACTGTTTCAAAATGAAATCAAAAATGTGTTTATCCTTCTTGAAAGGTTCTTGATCTTGTAATACATTTTTATTTTTAATGCCTTGAAGTTTGATGTTGTCAGTACCTTGCCCTTTTTTATGTCTCTATGAGAAATTGTAATAAAATCCACTTTTTAACAAACAAAACAAACAAAAAAAAAACAATCAGATGTTTTACTCTGACAACCAATGAACACCTGCTGTCTCCGCCCCCTCCAGGAAGAAAACCCTCTCTGCATCTGTGATTGACAGCTTGGAGCAAAACAGCTGACCACATGGCTGCTGGCACCAGTAAATGTAAGAGATCAAGACGTTCTGTCACTTCTTACCTTCGCTCTAAATGATTATTTGACATGGAATCATTACTGAATTCACATCACAGCTTTTGTTTTTAACTTGCGTGCATGGTGAGTTTGTCAGATGACGATTCATTTTTTAAATCAGTAGTTCAGTGGTGCAGAGAAGCAGCTTGAAAATGTCCCTGAAGTAACTGCATGTCGTCTTTATCAGTCACTATTTCATACTCGTTCTGCTGTCTGACATTGAAAACAGAAATTATGGCAACAAGAACAGCTTTATTGGGAATTCAGCTGTGTTGAAATGCAGTATGTGTGAGCACCGGTGAGATGTAACTGCATATAAGTGTAAAATGAAAACACAACAGCCCATCCGGTGCTTGTTTATTGGTTTTAAATTAGTCTTACAGATCCCATCATCTTCTAATGTTCCCCTCAGCTTTACAGTTTCCACAGAGGTTCTTGCCTCATGACTCTCTCAGCACATGGGAACTTGTGCTAAACTTACACTTTTACTTTGAAGGCAAACCCTCCTTTGTTCAGTTTTAACCTCAAACACTTGACAGCTGCACATTTCAGGACCGTCCCATTAATCACGAACAGGCTCATTAAACAGTGCAGAGTAGATTTCCAGCAACGTGTTGGACAGATAGATGCAGAACTCCATTCAGTGTTATGCAGAATTAAAGCCCCTTGCTGATTCCCCCTCTCTAAATATTCGGTTGATGTCTAGTCTCTTATTTTCTTCACACAGACAATCACCTTTTAAAACAGCTTTAACGGTGTTGTGGAGGATTTTTACTGCAGGAGGAAGCAAATCTCTTCACCGAAATGTTAATTAAAACAAGTGTTGCTGAGTTAATGCTTGAAAAGCAGCTCATAATTGCTCAGAAAAGGTCATCAATGGGTCTCTGATGTGCTTAATGTAGGCTACATTATTCAGTGAACCATAACTCCTGATAAGTCGATTCCTTTTTTGTGATGCAGGGCCATGGCATTACTAATTCATTGACTGGGCAAATCTTTTATCATCTGCTGTGTCCTGCTGGGCTCTGTCACCCCCTGGTGGGCAATTTGGTTCGTAGGTTTTGCTGGAAATGAACATAAGATCCAAATCTAAGGAAACTACATTCAAGCCTGTTATGTTAATGCAAAACTGGAAAATAAATCAGTTATATACTTTATTTATAGCTATTAACTGTTGCTGTATCCTACATTGAGGCAAGTACAGGGTGACAGATTTAGCTGAGGAACAAACATCTGATTATTAAACTCAGGTTGTTATCAGGCCAACATGGCTCGTTAAGGCCCAAAACTGAATGTATCATGCTCATATGAGGTTTTTCTGTTCAAACTAAACATGATAAATACAATAAAGCCTTCAAGATAGCTTAAAAAGAGCAAAATGTGGCAGGATTTACAAAAAAACTGCATAAAAATGATCAAATAGGACAAACACTACGCAATTCAGGAGAATTTTGCCAAAAAGTGTAGATGCTTTCAATTTGAGCCACACACCGCAAAAATATGTCACCCAGTAAAAAAAAAATCAGGATCCTTTATTTTCATGATTTGAAACTGTCTCCTGTTTCTATTCTTCTTTACTGGAAACTGAAATGAGCAAAATGCTTTACAGCCATACGTGTAGAAAAGTGTCTAATAGATGCAGTTCAGGTTTGTGCTGTGTTCATCTGGGTGTGAAAGTGTGCCAAACCTCGCAAAACAGGATGTCACACTAAGAATTCGTAAGGTATCGAAGTAATGTTTAACGTGTGAAGTCTTTCAGCGAGTCAAGGCCTGCCCGTGGTTTTATGGTGTTTCCATCCCCTCTGCCTCGGTGTCATGTACAGCATCTCCCTTTGTAATGAAATCATGAGGGGCCGGAGAATGAACGAATGGCTGCCCATGAGTGGGAACACAAGAGACGGCATTAGAGAAAACAGGTACATCAGAACAACCATGAAACCGCCAGTTGTTCGGTGGTAAATAGCTTTTATAGACACTTTTTCTCTGTCATATATGATATTGTTGATAATATAAGATATGAATGGTTACAATCAATCTTAAAATACAGTTTAGACGTTTGAAATTATGTATTACAGCAGACAAGCCTGAAGACAGCCGTACACATTCCCTTAAATTGGCATCCAAAAGCAACCTGCTAGCGTCGCCTGATTAAACATACAAGCAGGTGGCAAATGAAAGATGATAAATAAAGAGGATAAATAAGGGGAGAAGCAAATTCAGATGCTACCAAACAGGGTGAGTTTGATGACAATTATATGTAAAAGTCTCAGATCTCAACCATCAGCATCAAAACTCAAGCTGAAGATCTTTCATAGATGATGCGGTCCATTTCAAAACAAAGCCAAATTAATCTTTAAAGCACATTTAAAAGCAGCAAGACTTGAATCAAAGTGCCGTACGGTTAACAAAGCATGCAATAAAGCACAAAAACTGAAGGAAAAAAGATAGAATAAAAGGTAGGAACTCTACTTGAGTCAAATGTCAACGAAATAAGGTGGGTCTTGCTCAGCAGTCTGTGATGTGTGAGTGGCTCTTACATGGAAACTGTTCCACAGGTCAGCTGCACCGCAAAAGGCTCTATTTTTGTGCTCTGAGCGTGTGGTTGCTCAAACCAGGGCACGATGTTGCAAGAGTTCTGCTCAATATTGTGGTGCCAACTCCTTTGAAACCTCAAAAAAGGACCAATAAAATCTTAAAAATCAATCTCAAAGTGAACAGTGAGTCGGGATGGTCAGTATTATAGCATCAAATAGAACAGCATGTACATGTTTTTAAAGGTGGATGTGAAGGAGTCTGTTTTATGCAAATGAAAGATGCCACACTCCTACTGAAAATTATTACTGGCACGCATGGACGAATTCTTTCTGCCTACTTGACCAAACCTACACATCTATTCGCCCACTTAGAGCAAAGGTAAAACAAAACTACTGAGGTAGAAACTGAAACAGCAGGACTAAAGAACTTTCCATCAACGGCTTCATGGTCACTGCAGCGGCACATTTTTAGCCAAACAGGTTTCGTCACTGTGATGCTGCAGCTTTGCAACGTCTTCAAAATCTGAGCTTTAGGAAGTATTCGCTATTTAATAATGCAATAAAATATCTCGCTAGATGCTCTGTGAGGCTGTAGTTGGGCACAGCAATGCTTTTGGTTAAAGGCCGGATGTTTAGCAGGAAGTATTTGCTTTTTTTTTAAGTTACCTGCACTTTACTTGACAGGTTTCCATTTTCAGTTCATAGGCAAATAGTGCACTTTTTACTCCACTGCATTTATTTAATAACTTTGCTTTGTAGAGTTAGTTCAATATTGCAGAATATAATCAGCAAATAAATCATGATACACTATTATAGATTAAGATTTATTGAACACAAGCTACCCCCTATATAAGAATAATAATAACTTTATTTGTACAGCACCTTTACTAACAATAATTCACAAAGTGCTTTGACAGGTTGAACAGAAAATACAGGTAAAATATCAGGAAGGACAGGCGAACACAGGTAAAAACAACACTGCAAAAAATAAATGTACAGAAAGGATAGGTAGTTAAAAACTGATTTAAAGGACGACATCACACGAGGGGGTTAAGAGAGAAGCTGAAGAGAAAATCAAAGATAAAAAATAGATTAAGATCAGGAGATTAGAAAGTGGGAAGGAGATTTAGAAGGACAGAGAGTGATAAAAAAAAAAAAGAAATGAAAGAGAGCTTTACTTCAAGGCGAGTCTATAAAAGTGGGTTTTAAGAAGTGATTTAAAAGAAGTCACTGATTCAGCGAGAAGACCCAGTCAGCCTTGGATTTGAGCCTCGACTTTGGGACGATCAGGAGGGACCCACCCGGGGATCTAAGGATGCGTATATGGGGTTGACATTTCTAAAATATAACATAGAGCTAGTAGTTAAAGCACTTTTATCAGCTCTAGCATTCATCATCACTCATTTTAATCCAATAGCATAATGCACAACATTCTGAAAAATGCCATTCTACCTAATGAGTATTGTTACTTTGAAGCTGATTTCTGCGTGTAACAGAGTATTTCTATTACTGCTTTCACTTAGGTGCTTTTACGTCTATGCTACCATGTACTAAATGCAGGTGTTTGGTCATAAATCAAAATATTAGACACTAAATTTTCACCTGACAATGTTATTACAACTACACCTGAAAGTTGTTCAGATACCAGCTAACACCCATTTCCACAAATTCCCAACAACCACCAGGTGAAATTTGGTGATCACCTCCATGTGAATTCAGATTTAATTCAGTAATTTCTCATGTTGTCCTTGTTGAAGGAGTTCCTTTAAAACGACGTATTAACCAGTCACCATTTTCACCTGTGCTCATCAAAACTTCTGCAAGAGGAAGTGAATGTGCTGTGGGTAGGGCCACAGTGTTTTTTGCACTCTGTGCCATTGCATGTGAAAAAGGGGGTGACACAGCTGTTTCATCAGTCCTGTCAGTTTTTCTGTAGCTGCTCTTCCACTTCCTTATTTGCCCGTCAGTACTGTTTCCTCTTTCGTCAACTGATATGAGTCTTCTTCAGTGCACAGTTTCGAAAAGCCTGCTCCGTTGATCTGCCAAAGGGGACAAACTGTACAAATCTGCACTTTAAGCAGCAACATGAATGCAATCTGTTGCTGGGATTGAGTAGTGTTCGTTCAAAAGGGGGATTTCTTGTGCAAGACTGGTGAGTACAGAGTGATCGAAGGCAGCAGTTGAATCTTGTACCGACACGTAAATGTTCCTTAAACCCAAAAGCGTGGTCGTGTTGTGATCGTTGTGTCCAACTCCTGTCCGTCCCCAGCTTCATGTTTTCTGCATGAGCGAGAAGGAGGCGACGGTGAAATGGTCCTGGGTGTCTCTGTGCAGTAGCGTACACGAGGTGTGTGTCTGAGTGTGTGTGAGTGTGTGTGTGTGTGTGTGTGTGTGTGTGTGTGATGTCGGGAGACACCAGCACCCTGTCCTGGAGGAGCATGTCTCCCACCAGCCACTCTGATCTCTCCGATATGTCTCCCACGGCAACTGTCGCCACGGAAAGCATCTTCCCGGTGAAGATCATCAAAGTGTGTTTTCTTAGCAACAGCTCCAACCTGGGCAAGAATTTCAAACTGGTGCGCTGTGAGGAGGGATGGACTGTCAAGGTAAACTCTATTATTTATTCTATTGGACTACTCTACTGCTTGCTCGACTGTATTTTACTGGAGTCTACTCTGCTCTACAAATAGTACATCAGAGTCTCCTCCACTTGGCTGCTCTAATTCACACAACAATAAAACCACCTTCCATCGAAACACCTTTGACCCTTCTGGCCTTAGACTTCTGGGGTGGCCCTGCTGGTGTTGAGACCTTTGGGTTCTTTGGATTGACTTTTTTTGGATGCATCCTGCTGATCTGGGGAGTTTGAAGGTTCCTCTTGTCATACCTGAGCACTCGGTGTCAAACTCCCAAGATCAGCAGGATGCATCGAAGCAAAAGTCAATCCAAAAACCCCAAAGGATCTGCTCTCAACACCACAAGGACATCCCCAGAAGTTCTAGGGTTTTGGAGTTTGAAGGCTAACTCAACACCTCTTGAGTGCTCCTCAGCAGTCTTTGTGGTGAGGCTGTTGCTGTTAGAAGTTGCCATTGGAGGTGTTTGTTTGGTCTACAACAATGTTTAAGTGGGTGGTAGATGTCAAAGTAACATCCACATGGTTACCAGAACCCAAGGTTTAACAGAAGAACATCACACTGTAGTGAGATGATCAGCGTTGCTATGCTAAGATAGTATATAGTGCTTTTCTCTCATATAAACAGTTCTCTACTGTGTTTAGCTATACTGCACTCTCCTATACTCATCTATTGTGTTTTCTATTGTACTTTCCTGTGGTATTGTTGCTGTTGTTTACCCCACTGTACTGTCCTGTGTTCTGCTATGACGTTCCCTTCTTTAGTTTACTGTCTATACTAAACTGTGCTCTACTCCCCTTACTATATGGTCTTCTTCTTTAGTGTCTTTACCGTTCTGTGTTGTAGTGTGTGTATACTATACTGCACTGTACTCTTCTGTCCTCTAATTGAACTTTACAGAGAATTGTACACTGAATTGATTCACTTCAGTTTAATGTACCTATATAGTGCCAACAACATTCAAAGTTTTCTCAAGATGCTTTGCAGAAACCAGACTCTCTGGTGATGCGAGCAAGGAAAAACTCATGTTAAACAGTCCAGCTCACGAGCAAGAGAGAAAACAGAGCGATGCATAGATAGGAGACGGGAGATAAAGCACACATGCAGAGTACAAACAAGATATCGTGATGAAAAAATTTGCCGCAAACAAGATCAGCGGTGGATGAAAGAGACAGATACCGAGTGGTATTTATAGAACAGCTTTGTCAGGATACGATGTGCTCATGGGGTTACTGTTATGAAAATGAGGAAGACGACTACGTCAGAGGGGTTGTTCTGATGCAGGTTGGCGTTTCTCTGAAGTGCCAATTTAGTTTCACCTTTAGTTTAAGGAGAAAAATGACTGGAGTTACCTACCAGGAGAACGCTTTTACGCTATTGAGAGGTCGGAAGGTCCTCCATGAGCCAGTGAAGTGGTTTTAACATCTATTATTTAACCTGTGACATCTGCGTAGACCTCAGGTGGTCTCTAATATTAGTGGCTACAAGCTATTAAAAAATACTACAATGAATTTATTAGGTTCTGCTTAATCCACAGTGCTGTACTCTAGCTCTTTTTCTTCTACTATCCACTTCTTTAGCTATACATTATTAAAGAGAGCAACAATGATCTGTTTTGTACGTGAGGATTTTACTGAGCTGTTATGTTTTAGTTCATACGACAAAGTGAAAACCAAAATTCCAGAGAGAGACATCGCTGTATATTTATTTCCATCCCAGAATATCATCAGCGTGGTGCTGTCCAGCGGCTGTGTGGGTCCAGACATAAAGCACAGCCTCTGCTACGGTCTCCTCCTCAAACACCTCAAGTCCTCAGTGGTGCACTGGCTGCACCCGGAGATGACCGTGTCAGAGCTCACCCAGCGCTACGAGCAGCAGCACCTAGAGGCCGAGTGGAGGTCTGTCACATTTTTTCAGCTTGTGAATTTCAATTTGTGGGACAGTAGTTGCTCCAATCCTTAAATAAACTGATCAGCTTGGAGTTAAGAGTGATGCTTGTTTGTCCAGATACGACCTGAGGATCAGATATATCCCATCAGACTTCATGAAGGACTTCCAGGATGACAGAACCACAATGCTCTACTTTTACCAGCAGGTCAGTGTCTTGCAAGTTATTTTTAGCTTCAGTTTTTTTTTAGTTTTTTTTGTAAAGCCTCTCTCTTGCCTAGGGATCTCCTAGGGCTGTCGCTTAGGTGGTAGGGCAGATTGTATGAATAAGAAATACATCTTCAAGCATTTTGTTGAGCTTAGCAAAGGTTAAAAGATGCTATATAAATGCAGAACCACATACCATTAAGATAACAGGGATGGTTAAGTTAATGTAAATGTCTATAATGGTGGAAATCAGTGGAAGGTCTGTTTGTGCTGTGCTTGTCCACAGGTACGAAGTGATTTTATGCAACAGTACGCCTCAAAAGTTAGTGATGGGATGGCTCTACAGCTTGGTTGTCTGGAAATCAGGTAATATACACTGTAATTTGTTGAATTTTTGGAAAAAGCACTGCTGTTTTGTAGATTATCCTTGTTTGGTTGAATTACAAAAAAATAACTAGAAAAATAAGAGAAAAAAAGTATTCATTTACATATTAACCATAAATGGCATCCACATGAAAAATCTATATTTTTATAAATAGTAATTTGTTCTTTTACCATATTTAACTGTGAAATTACACTGTTTTTTACTGTATTTAAATCAGCTAAAAATATCATTATAGTCACTAAAAGAAATGTATATTATGTATATTAAGGATTAAAAAATGTTTTTTTTATAGATACTTATATTGCGCGACAGTTAATAGGTATTAAAGAGAGAAAAAAAGTGCATTTAGATGTTAATTGAAAAAAAACAAACAGATCAAAACTTCACATCAAGAATCTATATTTTTGCAAATTGGAATTTATTCTCTTACAATTTGTGGACATAAAATCCAGTTGTCAGACTTGTTTACAGGTTTTTTTTAAATTATTTTTACAGTGCAACTTCTGTCTTACAAACTCCTCCAACAGAAGAAACAATTGTACAAGTTTTCATGATAAATTAAAGGCTCTTATTGATGCTTCCAGGAGATTCTTCAAAGACATGAATCCAAACGGACTGGAGAAAAAGTCCAACTATGAGCTACTGGAGTAAGTCCAATGTTCACATATTCTTTTGTGCCAACATGGTGCATGCACTGGTAGCAAATACATCTGAATTGCTGCTGTTTCATTTTATCTTGATTTGCAAATAAGAGAAAAAATGAAAGCCCCACAGCGACATAATCAGATCAGCTCTGTGCATTTATGACAAAGAGAAAACCCACATGTGGTATCAGTTGGTCTAAGATGAAGACTTAGAGCAAAGTGATCACATGCAGTCTGTGATTAGCAGTAAAAACATGCTCACTGATGCTTACAGAAATAAAGTTTGGCACATGTGTCATACAGCTGGTTCAGGACAAAGTGTCAAACAAAAGAAATGTTGCAGCAAGAAGTCTGAGTATTTCTTTCATTATTGTTCTTACTTCCTTTATTCCCCCATTAGGAAGGATGTTGGGCTGGACCAGTTTTTTTCTAGAGAGCTCATCGACAGCATGAAGGTAGGGAGCTGGAAAAGGGCTGTTTAACACACTAAAGCTGCGTCAAGAAATGAAAAATGTCAGTGATGTGCTTGTGGATGTGTGTCAGTCCAAGCAGCTGCGTCGGCTCATCCAGCAGACCTTTCAGGGCTACTCCACCCTGAAGCAGGACCAGTGCATGGCCAAGTTCTTCAGCACGCTGGCCCAGTGCTACAGCTACACACAGGAGAGCTTCGCCTGCCAGCTCGTGGTGAGATTTGACGTAGTAGTGATTAAATTACCTCTTAGATTGTAGTTTCGTGCAGTGGAAAAGGTCTCTAAGCGTCCTGAAGCTGCAGGTTATATGAGTAAAATCCTTCTTCATACTTGATGCTTTTATGTGTTCTTACATGTAAATGGTTGCTCATTGTTAATAAAATGCAATACTTGTGTGTGTTTCCAATGTCTGTAGCACGGCTGGAGCATCACAATCGACTTGGTCATCGGCCCTGACGGCATCAGCCAACACACTGAGAACTCAACGGTGGGTTTTGCTCGACAGACTGAAAACAAACAAACAAAAGAAATCCTATTACCTCCCACACAGCCTGCTATTGGCATCAACACTCCAACACACTTGTTCTATGGCACGTATCCAGATTGTTTCCTCCTGACTAGATCCTCGCTTGTGTTGTATCTGCTCTCAGATGTACGCCGCTTTGGATAAAAGCATCTAGAATTGTAGTTTAAACTTTCTGTCACTCTCAGCTTTTGTTATTTGCTCCCTGACCTCTTCAATACTCATAAACTAAGTGTTCCTTTCTCTGTTTATTCCCTCTTAAAATTAAAAGTTTTCCATCTCTTGCAGCCCGTCTACCTGGCCAAGTTCTCTCAGGTGCGCAGCATCTCCTGCTCTGCTCAGAGCGACGGTCTGGCCCTGCTCACCGTGAACATAGAAGGAGCCAACCAGGTAACGCTGCACTTCTGCTCATCTTTCTCGCTCAGAGTCAGATGAGAATATCTATTATTTTTTGGCGTCATTAGTCAAAGTGATCACAGAGAAAACTAGACTTCCTTGCCTCATCTTTGCTCTATTTTCAGGCTTTCACAAAAACTAGCACACAAGGGGAGATCTTAGCCAATCACAAGCTTTGAACTCGGATCACATGAGAGAGTTAGATGAAGCAACACCACGTAAAACGTGAACATGCAATGAGTCAACTCATTCATTCAGGAGATTGGGGTGAAGCCACAACTTAATGTTACCTTTTCAAATTCTGCTTTTTGTTTTTTTTTCATTTCCTTGTTTCTTCTGCGTTTTTCCCCTTTTTCATAATAGCTGTCGACTACAGTTTTTCTTACATGAAAGAAAAGCACCCTCACGTACAATCAGCAGCTGAGCAACTCTGGGCTTTCTGGACACAGACACTTGGAAACACTATAGGTGTCTTTATTTCCAGTTGAAGAGATTAGAAAAACTCCCCTAACTGACATTTTGACTTTTATCTAACCAAAAGTTGTCAATTTGAGAATCTCATACCAATACTGACGGTAGATTATGATTCTACAAAATGTGACACAACAGAAATGAAACACAACATTTAACACCTTTTTTGAGTAATACGAGATGGTGTCTTGATTAAATATGCCGCGCTCTGTAGCCCTTCAAAGAAACCCACTATCTGCTGGAGGACATCAGTTCGGCTGAGTCAGTGACCTAATTAACCTATCGAAGTTAAAAACGTGCTTTATCACATCGCCTTTCTATTTGAACTTCCGTTGAGCTGCTTTTTATTTCTTCTTCCTGTTTTAGCAGTTTTGTACACTGTGTTGTGTTTTTGGCTTTTTAATTCGGAAGATTTTACGTCTCATCTGCTTTATTTTGCTGCTTTGTAACCCAGAATATTAAAAAGTGCTCTATAAATACAACCAGATATGGCCTGGTCCAGGTAGGGGGACCTTTAAGAAGGGTTAAAGAAAAGGTTAACCTATAAAAAAATATATATTTACTATGCAGTTTGGCTAGAAGTGAAATCCTGGAGCTACTTTTTGGATGGGTGCAGTGACTTTCTGGAGTTTTGTGAAGGACTGTTTAATTTGTTTGCACTTCCAGAAGAGTCAGTTGAGGTTAAAGTGCAAAATGTTTTAAGTTTAAGCACTAAATGTCTGGTATCTTCACCCCTCCAGCCATTCTCAGTGAACACCTCCTCCCTGGCCGTTGCAGAAAACATGGCCGACCTGATCGACGGCTACTGTCGGCTGCAGGGAAGCGCCGAGAGTTCACTCATTATCAGGCAAAGCAAAGGTAAATAATGTGTAAGAAAACGCTGCTCTGATGTCAAACTACCTGCGAGCTTTTACCTGAATCTATTATTTATCAACCTGTGCAGCTTTATGACACTGAGACAACATATGTGTGGCTCTTACAGGCCGAGACGTTAGACAAAAACTTCCTGACATCCCGCAACGGTGAGTGTGATGAGTCACATTGGAAAGTCGTGTTTCTAAGTGACACGTTTTTTTTTCCACTGTGGTGATAAACTGGTGGAAGCATAAGCTGTGTGGGAGTAGTTTCTTTTTGTTTGTTGTTTTTGAAAATGTCTATTTAAACACCTTCCTCCTCCTTCCTGTAGTCCTCTTTTCATGTTTTTGTTTCTCCACTGATCCAACATGTTTGACATATTTACATATCAGTCTGAAAATCTCTCTCTTTCTCTTCCAGGGGGGGCCCCAGTGGCCCCGATAGAAGCAAAAGTAAGTCTGATAGCTTTTAACAAGACCTTAAACTAATCAGCATCGATTTGTAATTTCTCACACAGAGAATTTCAACATTTTTCTTTAATTTCAGATTCTGATATTTATGCTGAGATTCCAGATGGGACAGAAGACTCTGGTGGTGAGCGACGCTTCTCTGTGAATTTATAAAAACAACACATTCACAGCTGATACCCTAAAACGAGGCCATTAGTTACGAAATGTTGTTTGTGTTATTTTGACCATCAGTTGTGGGGAAAATGAAACAAAAATCATCTTTTCCAAGTTGTTCTCATCCCCTTTGAGAAAGAAACCTGTTGAAAAATCATTGCAACACACGACAAACTAAATAAAAGCTGGAATATTCAAAATTAACTAATGTAGAAGCATACAAAAACAATAAAATGTAAGGCAAGGCAGGTTTATTTGTATCGCACAAGTCGTACCCGAGGACAGATAAAATCAGTCCACAGAACATAAACACAATTATTAATTAATTACATTAAAAGAAAAGAAAAGAAAAGAGGCAGATAAAATCAATCAATAAAAACATAAATATAATCATTACTTTAAAGAGTACAGATAAAATACTCTCAGCTGTCACATGCACAACTGTTACCTTTTCCTTTGTTGTCATAGACATCTGCTGTTAGTTCTTCTCGGCAAGTTTCATTTTCTACCAAACCACAACACTTTAAAGAGGTTAAAGAACGTCTACATGAAGAGTCTGCAAGTCAGCTGCAGGCAAAACCGAGCCTCCACACTGAATCTAAGCACAGTTAAATGTTTGGGAGTCTTGCATACTCGTGCATACTCATACTTATAAGGAACTAAGAGGAGTGGGAGGCAGCACGTCCTTCCTTGTTCTGGTTTTTGGATTCTTTAAAGTTCATTTTCTCTAAGCTTTATTCCATGTAACTCACCCGTAGAGTTGCATTTTAAGAAAGAGATACAGGTTTAACTTTAAGGCTTAGGTGGCTTGCATAGTTAAAAGTTTAACCAAATTCCTGAATCCCTCCCTTTGTTTCTTAGAGAAGCACAGGATCTCCAGAGGCGACGTTGTTGTGGGTCGGATCCTGGGTGAGGGGTTCTTTGGAGAGGTTCACGATGGAGAGTATAAAAGCCCAGTGAGTTCACCTGCTGTTAAAGTATCATCACAGCAAAGATTCTTCCCACGAGAACTAACGAACCCTGCAAATTGTTCAAGCGAGACCTCGCTCGATTCTTATCAAACAGAACACATTTTCACTGCAGCTGTAACGTGTGTTTGCAGACGGGGGAGAGGATCCGCGTTGCTATTAAAACATGCAAAGACTGTTCAGCTGAGGTGAAGGAGAAGTTTCTCAGTGAGGCTGGTGAGTACGTTGCAGTGATTATTTCCTTTCGAAACGAGTTTTTGCTGTGCACGTGTGACTGAGATGTGATTCAACCAGAAAGCCTGTAAATGTAATGCATATAAAAAGACATCAGGCAGTAGAAGTTGCATGAAAATATGACTTATTCTGCCTTAAATATCAAGCAGAAAGAGAACAAAATGTGGTGTGAAGTGTGTCAGTTTGGAACATTTTAGGGTTTCATCAGACAGATAGCTGCTGTCGTCGGCTTCCTGTTGCCTGCCTGTGGCTTTGTGCAACAGCTAAACCTGGAGGCTGCGGTAGTTCGGAGGCGGCAGTGATCATCTCACACAGCAGCAGCAAAGAATGAGACGCAACAAAAATCACAATGAGAACTCAAAGTTGGCCACTCAGGAAAGGCAATGAAGTGACTGAATAAAAAAAAGCTTAAAGCCATTGGCTAAGTGGACGCTACGTTGCCAAACTTTTTGAAAAATGTGCCTTTTTGGTCTGATGGTGCTGCTTGGAAAAGTATTGCATGCTTTAGTTACACTCTTACCACATAAATGTATAAGTTAGTAACTTATGTAAACACAATGTCTGATTTATTATCACCTTGCAAAGTGTTTTGGTTTCTGGGGGATCCACATTCACCCTCCTTTTAGCTCTAGTGTTGGTCTCCACCAACTCATGTGGGATTTATCTGACTTTAGAAGCTTAATGTTCTATTATAGATCACCAGCTGTCTGCATACACATTTTTGTGTCGTGTAAAACAGCTGTGCACAACCACCAAAAAATAGTAATAATGTAAACGTAACGCGACAAAAACTAAGCCAAAAGTTGCTAAAAAGCTTGAAAAATGAAGCAGGTAGATTAATCGTAGCAACTGGACTTGCTTGAGTTTCTTGAAGACGTTCCACCTCTCATCCAAGAGGCTTCATTGGTTCTGACTGACTAGGTGGGAGTTCCAGATACTTATATCCCCCAATTGAAACCGAAACTCAAGTGTTAACGGCTCCTTTAGGATATAAGTATCTGGAACTCCCAACTAGTCAGTCAGAGCTGATGAAGCCTCTTGGATGAGAGGTGAAACGTCTTCAAGGAACTCCAGCAAGTCCAGTTGCTGCGATTAATCTACCTGAACAACCATGACCTGGATGACTGAGAATCTTCACAGACACCTTGAAAAATGATATTGTGGCCAATGATGGCACGGCTTTTGCTGTATGAGTGAGAAACCATTTACATTTCCGTCACTTACATGCAAAGGGTCCCACCCTGTAGAGTAATAACTAACTCTGTGGGTTGCTTCTGGCCACCGTCAGTAAAAGTTAAATGCCTAAAATCTGTCATTCCGGCCTTTTCTTTCCTTAATAATTCCTAAAATACGTGATTTTCCAATAATCACAGTTGTATTTCTTTGTTGCAGGCTTGATGAAGAATCTGGACCACCCCCACATCGTGCGTCTCATCGGAGTCATCGAGGTGGATCCTGTCTGGATTGTCATGGAGCTCTACGAACACGGAGAGGTGTGTTTATTTGTCTTATAAGTGTTGCAGCAAACCTGTACGAAAACCATAATCTCAACTCAACTCGACATCACGTTGTGTCTCCTAAACGTGGATGTTTTCTGCCTCCCTGACAGCTGGGGAAGTATCTCTTGGAGGAGAAGTACATTCTGAGTACGTCGACGTTAATCTTGTTCTCTTTACAAATCTGCAAAGCCTTGGCCTACCTGGAGGGACTCAACATGGTGCACAGGTGACACAATGCATTTGCGATCTTTAGCAACGATGCTAAGCTAAAAGATAGAATGAGTGATCTTGTTATTCTGCAGAACGTCTCAGAGCTTCTGCAAGTATTTACAGTGAAGCTCATGTAGGATTATTCTTGTTGGCATGACCTGTTCTCTTTTTCTTATCTGTCTGTAGAGACATCGCGGTGAGGAACGTCTTGGTGGCGTCTCCTGATTGCGTTAAACTCGGTGACTTCGGTCTGTCTCGCTACGTTGAAGAACAAGAGTATTATAAAGGTGCACACACACAGCCAGCATGCATTCACACTATTTCAAATTCTAGTAAAAGTGTTTCTAATATTCCTCCTCCGTGTGCAGCCTCAATTAGTCGGCTACCAATCAAATGGATGGCGCCTGAATCCATCAACTTCAGGCGCTTCACCACGGCCAGTGATGTCTGGATGTTTGGTGAGAGAAGCTTCACGCACCATTTCGTCTTTTCTTTTGTCTGAACACAAATATAAGTTTCTTCTAAGAAGCCGGAAAGATTCAAATGACTTTGACCACTGGGCGACGTGAGGTGTGAGCTGAGCACAGCTGTTGACTTGAGCTGTTGTGGGAACTGTATTATATTGAAATATGTTTCGAATACTTTAAGCAGCATTACTACAGACTTCATGTTTAATAAAATCCTAATTCTATAAACCATAATGATAAAAAAAATGACTGATAAAATGGTGATGAAACCTGATTTACTTATGACTTAACTGAAAAAATCTGAATCTTTAACGGAATCTCTCTCTTTTCCTTTCAAAAAATGAGTCTTTTGCTCTTGTAATACCTAATTTGGCTTTAAAATGTACAAGCAATGAGACACTTAAAACTGAAATAAAGGATGAACGCTTTGTATTTAAAGATTCATTTGAAAGATGATGAACTTTAAGCTGCAAACATGTCTGAATAATGAGTTTGCTTCCAAAGACAAAGAGCGTATGATGAGATGCATTATTTGCAGGGATAACAGGTTGTAATACTGAAGCTATACCAGAGTTTAGAGTAACATCAGCAGCTCTGTTCTGCTTTTTATTCATTTTTTAGGAAGTTTAAGCTCAGTTGAAGCAGCTGAATTCATTGCCAAAATCTCCCTAAAATTCTTTTTGTAAAAACAAAACCAACAGTTTTAATATATATTAGCAATAAAGCACAGCTTTACCTCTACTCGTCTGTGATGTTTTTACAATAAGGATTTCAACTGTGTCAAATTTCCTGAGATGATGTTGGCTTTTTGTGTCATACATGCAGCTGGAAACATTAAAAAGTCCCTTCCCTTACAAGAGCAAAATGTTTGTGGCGGATTTGCGGCAAACTTGTGGTCGATTTGCAACAAATAATGTGATTTCCTGAAAATGTCCTCACCGGTCTGCGACTGTGAGCCACAGGGGGTTGAGTTACAACAAGCATTCTGACAGCAACGGAAAGTTTAGCACCACTGGCTGCAAGGGTCACTGGTGGTTTGACAGTCGAGCTAAGCCTTTAGTAACAAGTTAGCCATTCCTGGCAAATGTGTCAATTTATGTTTGACGTGGATTGCATTTCTGGCAATAGGCTGATAGTTTCTGACATGAAATTTGCAGCAATGCCACATTTTCATGGGTAAATTCGACTTGGAGTGGTGGCTGGAAAACTGGTGGCTGGAATATTTACAGTTTGCACACGAAGCACAAAATAGAGTTTCAAATCACTTGTTTGCTGTGATTCTTCCACAAATTTCCCTTAAAAATGCACTGCAAGTTTGCCACAAACCTAATATGCATGTGAAAATATCCCTTTTTTTGCAACTACTTGCCAGAAACCTACAAAAACCAGCTCGCAAAAAATATGAGCAACTTCAAGAGGTGTATCTGCCACTGGTGTGCACATTTTGTGAATATTGCCGGTGTGTGTTTTCAACCAGGTGTGTGTGTGTGGGAGATCTTCTCGATGGCCCAGCAGCCGTTCTTCTGGCTGGAGAACGGCCAGGTGATCAGCCAGCTCGAGTCGGGGGTTCGACTCCAGAAACCGCAGCTCTGCCCGCCCACCATCTACTCCCTGCTCACCCGCTGCTGGGCCTACGAGCCGCGCTCCCGGCCCACCTTCGGCCAGCTCGTCTACTCGCTCAAGTACACAATCGCACACCTGCACAGTCATTTCTGCAGCAATACACCTAAATTAGCTGCATTTGCTTGAAGGTTTTTCTCATTTCTTAGCCCCTGCGATGATTTTAATATGTGGCATTGTCACTGTTTTGCAATGTAATGATGTAATTGCATAAATTCTACATTTTCCATCAAATTCACCAACTGCTGTGTGCATGTTTGTGTGTTTCACAGTGATATCCACAGGATGGAGCTGGAGCAGGAGTCGGATGATAGGCGAGGCAGATCACACACGATGTCGACGATATTTGACGGCAACCATGCAGAGCCTCCACCCAAAGTATTACACAAACACACATACACACACATGTTAATATGGTCATGTGCTGAGCTCACAGGGTGCAAATAAACTTGAGGTGTAAAACCAACGTAGTCAGGATATTAGAAATTAGATATGCTGCGTCGCAGCACATTTTAAATAACTGGCTGATTTGAAACTGCATCACTAATTTTTTTAGAGTCAGTGAAGCCGCAGCCACAGCAGCTAAAGATGGAAATATGTGTAGATGCAGTTCCTCTAATGGCCACTAGAGGCTCAGAAAAATGTGAGAACATTTGTTGTTTCATTCAAGCAATATATTATCTCTTTTACAAAACAAAAGACACAAGGCAGAGATGGTTTGACATCCTAATTACTGCTACAACTAATGCCACTGTTTACTATGAAATTAGCAGTTTTCTGTAGAGACAGTAAAATACATGCAGAATTTTTTGCTTACTCAGCACATCCTTGTTTTTGATGTACAATCTTCATGTTTTTTTTGCATCAGTCCACCAACTTTTTGTTGTTTATTGCCTTTTTTTTTTTTTTTTAGTTTAACAGTATAATCCTGGAAGTAAAGAAGCTCTAAATAAATAATGGATAAAGATGGATTTTCTTTTAATATAATAAAAGCAGATGATTGTGTTTTTTCACCTGTAAAACATACACTATAACAACTTGCATGTTCTCACTCTGTATCTCTGTCTCAACAGCCGTCCAGAATACAAGGCAACACCCTTCCTCGGGCCGGGCACATACAGGTGACCAAACACACAAACACACTATAGTGCACGTATATATTTCAAATTACAAGCTATCCTGCGCATCATGTGCAATAAATGTTCTAAAATCCAGATTTCTTAAATGTCTACAGTGAAAACTATGGCACTAGATTGTTCAATAAACCTGAACTTCTCAAATTACATCATACCACAAAAGGGGGAAGTCTGCCGTTGAGTCACATTCTGCGATGGCAACTGTGGCACCGTTGTTCAGACCAGGGTGTAAGAAGTGCATGACTAAGCCACAACAAGGACCCATGTGACAAAATACTGAAGAGGGCCAAAGGGGAATATGCAAAAAAAAAAAAAAAACTGCACCAACCTGTTTATAGAAAAGGCCCGAAATAGCTGTGTGTGGGGCACTGTGATGACAGGTTCACTTCTAGGTTCTCTGATTGGCTCCTTTTATCAGCCAATAGCAGTGCTCCTTAGAGATGGATGCAGCGTGGGGAAGTTTTAGTGCAGTCAACCTTCACTAGAAACCTGTAGTGGCTGTAAATACTGAATTACACCTAATAGCTTTGGAATAAACAAATAAGTTTGCATTTAAAGGCAGTTTATGTGTTTGTGTGCAGGCACCGCAGAAGGACAACAGGCCAGTATGGGAGACAGAAAGAGTGGAGGACACTTTACAAAGACAGAGACGAGAGATGCTGATGGACAAGCAGTGGCTGGAGCAGGAGGAGCGACAGCTGGTGAGCACACGTTTCCTTTAGGTGTCAAGTACAGTAAGTAGTTTGTGGTTTTCTGATGACGTGATGACACTCACATGATTTATGTGCAGCCTTAAATAAGGCAGCTTTAATTAGAGTTACATGATGCAAACACGCCCACTGATCGAAGCTCGTGTTGTGTTTTTGTGCAGGATCCCGTCGTGCGGCTAGACACACACATCAAGGTACACTGTCTGTTTCCTCCTTTATACATTTTTGTGGTGTTTTTACAAGTTTGAAACACTAGAAGGCAGAAAATCACTAGAAAATATGTTGCATGTCCTAAATTAGTGTTTTATCTGTTGTTTTGGTCAGTCAGCTTCTGAGAAAAATCATTTTTTTATTTGCTTTCTGCATCTTTTAAGGTTTAATTTCAGAAGCAATCAAGTTGTTTTCCACATTTAAACTGCTGAAGCTACAAATAACCAGTCTGATCAGGCTAATGTGAAAGTAGTAGCTCGTCTACCAGCCTGAAAATTCAGAATAAAAGCTTTTTGTTTTTTCCTTCTGAGCACCAATCATAGCTAAATGTCAACCTCCAATAAAAGTAAAGACTTTTTAATCAGCTCAACCTGAAGTTTCAAACTGCTAAAACCTATTAAAGTAATCTAAGTAGGTGGCATTCACTTGCTTTTCTCTTTCTACAGCCTCCTGAAAAAAGCCCAGAAAACGGTAAGTCCACTTTCATCTGGTCGCCTTTTTGAACTTTTTCTAACCTGTAGCCAGCAGTTCTTTGCAGAAAAGAACATGTAATAGGTATCAGATACACCCCTGTTGAATTTACTAGAATATTAGTTGCAAAAAAGTGAAAAATGTATGGATGTGTTTCTCGTTGGATGAGGAAAAAGTTACTAAAGTAGGCAGAAAATGCATTGCAAGTCACTAAAATGCACATAAATGGTTTCAAAATTATAATCACATGTAGAAAATAATGTATATATACATATATATGCACAACTTGCATCTCAAGCCTTCTTTATATATTTCAGGTCCACCAGAGAAACCCCCCATGCCTCCGACAGTCGCTAAGGTAAAACTACATTTTGCTGTTTCCATCACAAAGAACTGTAAACACGTTTCATATCGTCGTGAGTTACAGAATTTAAACGGAGCTATGTATTAAATGTGGTGACGTACTGTCCTAGCCTCGACCCACAGCCGAGCTGGACCGATCCGGTGATCAGGTTTACACGGGCGTCATGGCGATGGTGAAGCAGGTGGTCCAGCTGAAGAATGACGTCAACACGCTGCCGCCGTCTGAGTATCCGACCGCCGTCAAGGTAAATCCACCACTGTTTAGTCAGATATAGAGGAATATAAGAACATCTGAACAACTTTCTATCAGTGAATGAAGAACAAGTGGACGTTCTTTTTAAGCTTCATCACATCCTCTCCCTCCTTCACCCCCTGTAGGCAGTGGGTATCACTCTACGTACTCTGATTCAAAGTGTCGATGAGATCTTGCCCTCTCTGCACAGCTCTGTCACCACAGAGGTAGGCCTCAACCTTTGTTTCTCCTGTGTTTTGTAACAGTGTACATCAATAGACCAGATACAGAATCATTATTTCATTGGAGATGTTGAGAAAACTGGAACATTTCACATGTAAATACAACTCACATGATCACATATTTTACATGTGAAATATGAGATATCACATGCGGCACATATTGTATAATGTACAGTATATGTGTTTTTTTTTTTAAGTTTCTCATCCAAAATCATATGAAATTCACATGTGCTCTGTTTTATAAGTTCTTTTTTGTTGCCTTTACCTGACCATTAGCAGTTTATTTGCATTTTCGACCCGTTTTCCTTTTAATTTCTGTAACCACAGAACTTCTTAAGTGACTACTGATGAAAAAAGGTACCTACTTTATGAGTAATTATTTGTTGCAGGTATAAATTCATTTAAAACAAAGTATTTATAGAAAAAAAAGCTCTTTGAAAATCATAACCTATGATCTCTTATACATGTATTCACTATGTACATTTTGAGAGCAATGAACAATAATGCAATGTTTGGATGCTGGTTTAGTTGTCAAATCACTCAAGACAGAGCCGGACGTTTTAAAAATTGTTTAAGACACTTTTTTGTTGGACCAAGTGCTACCATGTGATCTCCTCTCCGTCTCAGATCGAGGGCACTGAGAAACTTCTGAACAAGGATCTAGCGGAGCTCATCAATAAGATGCGACTGGCGCAGCAGAACTCGGTAACGTCGCTGAAGGAGGAGTGTCAGCGGCAGATGCTGGCAGCTGCTCACACTCTGGCGCTCGACTCCAAAAACCTGCTGGACGCCGTGGACCAGGCTCGGGTCAGGGCCAACCTGGCCAAACCCAAACCTGACTCAGAGGACGAATGAGGAGAAAACTCACCCTGTTGACCACATGGATGTAAAAGTGTCTGGTCTCTCAGGGGGTTTGTTTGTGAAGGACATGTGGAGGTTTCTGTGGTTCAGCTGTGATCCTGCAGGAAGCTGCTGCTGCACCAAACCAAAGACAGATGTTATATTTTTGTTTGCTCCTAAAAAGGAATCATGTTAAGTTAAACTGAACTAAAAGCTGGAAAAACTAAGACATTATGTAAAAGCAATAATGTTTCTACTGTTTATTCTATATTTTTACTATTAAAGACAGTTAGAAGCTGCACCACGTGTTGTTTTTCTCTCGTCTGGACTTAGACTTTAGGCAAACAATTTGGTAAAAAGTACCACAGAACTCCTGTCTAAGCTGATGAAAGCATAAAGCTAAAGTTAAGAGTTTCATCTCTCTGTTCTGCTTTGAACATCGGTTGTTCTTGAAAATCGGAAGTTGTATGTGCAGAGAGTTTGACAGCAGGTGGTTTGCAAAATTGGGACAAAAGCAGCTTGTAGAGGAGGACAAATGTTTTCTCATAGTGTTGCTCTAAAACACTGCAGATCTTTAAGTGAGACCAGATTAAACTCCAGAAACACAAATAACAGAGTCTTAGAGGGCTCATAGTGGTACATTTTTCCAGATAGGAGTTACAGTTTTGATTCAATAGCCAGAGTTTGAGAGGAAGAGCCAAATCTCACTCTGACTACAGGGACCATCACCATGGCAACCTTACCTGCAGCTCACCACACACACCTGATGCACCTTTATTAATCAGCAGCTTCTCTGGTCTCTGTGATTTTTAACCCACTTAACTGGCTGTTTTCTGTCGTATTGTTGCTTCCACGCTGAGTGCACACATGGATTTACACTTTTCAACAGCTTCACTCCGGAGTCGTCGGTGGACGAATCCTCCTCCGCACCACCCACAGGACTCTGGAGAAGTTCAGAAACTCGGTGAGCAAACAACCAAGTGAATGGTGTGAACACAGGTCCGCAGATGTAAAACTGAGATACACCAAGGTAGAATTAGGATCCACAAATGGTTTTTTTTGATTCACAAAGAGGGGAAAAAAACAGTGAAAGTCTCTCTGAAGTGTTATAAATATTGCCAAACGATATTCATTTGTCAGTTAAACTGATGTGTTCACAGATCATTTTTATTAATTTGTTTCTATATTTATACATCGGTTTTACATTTGCCTTAATTGCTCATAGTTTTACGCACCGACCCAGTGCAGATGGACGCTGAGTCAAATCGCGCTCTGCCAGAACTCAGCTCCGTCTCTCTCTCAGCATCACTACTCTGTAACTCTGCCTTCCGATGCTGTGTCTGTGTCCTGAACAACTGAGAAATGCCATCTTCATTTTCTGATAGCTACAGCAGCAGAATCGATACGAGCCCCAAGTTAATGGAAGGGCTGTGCGCAATTTACGCACGTGGCACCGCAGGTGTCTTCACTGATCATTTCAGTTTTCTGATCTCTCGGAGCCTCAGTAACCTCAGAGCTTTTCTACAAGCGAGCAGGTGAACTGCTGCACAGGTTCACAGCTGGTGGTGAAGCGATGGGATGAAAGGGCACCGCAATTAATAATACTGCCGGATATTAACCCGAATGATATTTATTATTGTTAATATTTGTTGGTTTTTAATCCTTTAATATTTAAATTACATCACATCATAAACCAAACTGTAGGATCACAACCTCAATATTTAAACTTGCTTGTCTAAATGACTTGTATTGACTGTAATGTTGTTTCCTTTGGACATTTTTCTCGGGAATATGAAGCCTAAATTACTACAGAGCGTTATTAGTTCCGCTGCTTCAATGCCATATTTGCAGAGATTATATTGCATGAACTGATTTAATCCCTGTTGTAGATTTATTTATTTATTGTCTTAAAAAGGCCACAGACAGTCAACATATGAAAGCACCGTTTTCTACACTCAGTCTAAATGTTTTTCTCTATAGTGCAAAAATACGTGTATTTGTAATCAGCAGACACAGATAATATCTCGTAAAATCACTATTATTAATCAATATTCTCAATTTAGGACGGAAAAGCAAAAAAAACAAAAAAAAGACCAAACAGTCCATAATATCCACATTTGTAAAATCTGGATTTTTCCAAATGTATTCTTTGACAATATGTGAAAATAAAACCACACTTTTTTTTTTATTGTATTGAAATGAGCTGAACACTTCATTTTACACTCATCTGTCCTTATTTCATTTATTTCCATTTTCTAAACAGTTTTTGAGCATTACTGTATTACAGTGTGGTTTTTATCAAACATGTTTATCTGGCACCCATGCTGCTGCATTTT